CCCACAAGAGAAAATTTGTACCAATGATAAAGTCATAAAAAATGAGATTTCCAAATTGCGTCATAGTAATTTAGAAAATCTGTCAAGGTCGGGCAAAAGAAGGAGAAAGATTCTCATTATAGTTCAATAACAAAAATTGATTTAGTGCCTATTAATAATAATTACTGTCGCTTCCATTATGTCTCTTAAAACTCTACGACACAACATTTTTAACCCAAAACGAAGCCTAACCTTTTTGTAACCCGTCGCATTCTACTAAACAACCAAAATAAAAAGAAACCCGCGTCTCTTGTCATCAAATATCAATTCTTCCCTTCAGTAATTTACGTACCCGCAAAAATCATAATCAGTGTAACAGCGACCAGACGTGTTGAACAAAATAGAATAAAAAATTCAATGACATGATGGGGACGAGCTAAAACCAATTTAGATAGACCTATCAACTTGCACCAGATCCATAAAAGACACCCTAGTTTAAATGAGACAAGGGGCGCAGGGAAGGTCTTTTAAAATTAGTGGAGTAGTATTAATGGTTTTGGACCTTGGGTGAGACGCGAAATTTAATCTTCTTCGCAAAAAGTATTGAATAGAACGGGACAAAAAGGTTTGAAGTGATAAATGGATGCTGATCACCGTCGCCTTGGGTTTTGGTTTTAGTTTCTTGGACATCTTTACTAATTAATTTTCCTTTATATTGAGAATTGAGAATATTGTTAAGATGTTGTGGGACTATCTTGCTTAGGACAGCACATTTTCAATACATTACTGAGTAATTGGTAAAGGCCATAGACATTATAATGAACACAGTTAAGATTGCTGTGGTAATGGCAAACGAATGCAGTCATTTTTATTGGTTATATTCTTGTCGATGAATGTATTTCCATATAACGCCAATAATGAAACATTGTCATAATTTACCTAAACTTATTAGCATTTAAGCACTTTTATGATTATATAACAATGTTTATTACTTTTACCTAACTTCGCCTGTCCTATATTGTGAACTTTATATAGTTTTAAGCAAAACTGTATATTACTAGATTATTATGTTTAAAAATAATAATTATTTATTTACTATTTTATTTAATTCTAGATTACATAACATGAACTACTAAGAATTTTCGAAAAACTGAATAAAAGTAGGTAGGGTGAACTCATCTAATTCTGTGACTCGCCTAATAATTCGGTTTAGTAAATTTGGTAGAACTCTTAGGTTTCTAGAAAAAAATCTGATTATTTGTGCTAATATTCCTCATAAAAGACTGATTAAATCTCATGCGGAGACTGAATTAAATTAATTAATAATTTATTGGTATTTTATTACTCAAATGACTTTGTCACGAAGTTAGATGAGTTCACCCTACTTTCCCTAACATAAGAAGCAAATTCACGTCTCCTCGTCAAGCTTTAAGTCTACTCAAGCATCAGGACAGTCATAATCAATAACCAATAGCGACATCAGAAACAGTCAATCGATACGACATTCATAAAGCCAAAAGACAAACAAAAAAACAAAAAAAAAAGCATCAAAACTTCACACGTAGTAACTTCACGGTAAATGATAAATGATGATGTCAATTCTGTCTGTGTTGTGAACGAAGTGGTATTTCCTGGAGTGGAAACCAGATAGTGTGGATTGGTAATCAATATGAAGGTAAATAAATTGAAAATGTCAATGGAGGAGTTGGAAAACTTTGAGTTATTTTTAACCGATTTCAAACAAGGAGGTTCGCTGTTAGGCCTGTATGTTTGGGCGCGATTACCTCGATGAACGGATGGGCGATCGGATGAAGTGATTTTGAAGCGGTTTTCAAAATAGTGTTTGTTACATTTAGGATAAGGTTTTAGTATATTAACGAACCGACTTCAAAAATAGAGGGGGTTGAAGTCGGGTTTTTTAAACGTAATCTATCATAATATTATATATCATATATCATCATAATCTATTAGTGAGAGCTGTAAATGAAGAAGTCTCTGTTAAAATAGTAAATTATAAAGGGATCTGTAAACTTAATATGGTCTTATAACTATTCTGCTATGGAGGTAGGAGACTTAACAAAATTTTGACGCTAAAAAAACGACGTCGTGACGTCACAATACACATTCTCGTTCAAAATTCATAAATAGAAAACTGTCGTTTTGACAGTTCGATAAAAGTTTTTAATCCAACTAGTTGGCAAGTCAATAGAGAATCATTTTGATATTTAAATAACATAAGGATTAAATTAAAAAGTGCACAGTTTTGCCTGTATTCAGACAATTGGTTGCCAATTTTTAAGTTACGATCACCTTATCCCATCATAAATAAAAAAAAAACATTCCCATAGCACCACACCATAGCGATATAACCCTAAAAATCCCACAAACCATAAGGCGTGTCCCAATCCATCACACCGCCGTGATTACACCATAATTATATCAGAATAAGGGTTGAAATTCACTGAGTTTCAGTCACGTGGCCATTGTTTGACGTTTTACCAAATTACAGTCATAAGCATGGTATACTTGAATGATTTCCTATTCTGTATAGAAGCGATCATGGTTTTTGATCATCAAATTGTCGAATATGATAAATATTATAATGATAATATGACTGCTTCATTGGCCGAGTGGTTGCAAGTGCGACTGCCGGGCAAGGGGTCTCGGGTTCGATCCCCGGGTCGCGCAAAGTATTACTAGATTTATTAAAAAAAATCTCAGTAGCACGGAGTCTAGTAATGTGCCTGGTATATGGCAATAGGCTCACTCCCTATTACATGGGACTCATAATATAAATTGTGAAAAGTGGGTGTTACATTGTACAGTGGCATTAAGTGCCGTAATGTGCACCTCTACCCACTCCTTCGAGGATAAAAGGCGTAATGCTATGTTATGATAAATATATTTGAAATGCAGTTCATATTATGTTTGGTTAGGGAAAGGGGTCTGTTGAAATACTGTGCTTATTATTAGCCACTGTTTGAGTACTTGGTTTCGTGAAAATGCTGTCTTTGTTCATGATGTGGTCCCTGGACTCCTGGCGCACCGATAGCACTCCGTGTTCACACTCACTCACTCCACGTGTGTGTCTCCTGTGTGAGTACAGGCACGCACGTATGTCTACCGCGGGGCGCTCGACATGACCCTCTCCAGTCATTGATGATATAATTTTTCTGCCAGAGTTTTCAGAGTAAATTAAAATACTGAAGTCATTGATTCAAATACTTCTTTTATCACTCATATATTCAATATCACAGAATTAATTAATTTCTGAAAGCAGTACAAGAATTTGGAAACATTAATTAACTCAAGCAACTTTTTAAATATAAATAAATAACACAGTTATACAACCAATGCAAATTATAAACGCAATTGAGAATCAGTAAGTATCTTATTACTGTCCTACAAATAATTCCTACCAGTGACAAAGTCGGTGATCCTCGTGACAATCCCCAATGCTGTAAGAAGACTATTCGCCATAATCCGTATAAAAGCGAGAGGGGGATTTGTATTATTTATTGTTTCTGGTTCCTTGGTGTTGCTTACTTGTTGGATGTGGTGTTAATTAAAACAAGGCTTCTGGAGATTGTGGGGTCGAAATCTATGACGTATACCCCTATACTTATTATACTCCTTGCGTCGCTGTAGTGATGGGATTTGTTCATCTTTTATTTTATTAGGACTTTTTACTCACCCCCTATTACATGGGACTCATAACATAAATAGTGAAAAGTGGGTGTTACATTATACAGTGGCATAATATGCACCTCTGCCTACCCCTTCGGGGATAAAAGGCGTGATGTTATGTTATGTTATGTTTTTATTCTACTTTTAGTGTGTTCAAATCGGTACAAATACAGGTGTCAAATAGAGAAATTTTGTCAACCAGTTTGAAAGTCAAAATCAAAGTCAAAGCTTTGATTTAATTAAATCATAATTTGGTACTTTTGAAACGTCAACAAACACAAAATAAATAATAGTAGGTCAGTCAGTCCGTCAGTGAAGCTAGGTGAAGCTAGGTGCTCATTACAAAATGTAGTTTCAAATGGAGAACACTCAAAACTCTATACGGTACTTTTTTTTAAAAGTCCGTTCCAACTCCAGTTTTAACATGAGGAAACTGTAACAGAAGAAGAATCTATCACCAAACACCTTACTTGTCTGACTTTTTGAAAGCAAAAAATGTCTTATCCGAACTAGTACTTATCGACTGGATGTTTTGTTGTCTTTAATCAAATTTTTTTTTGCTGGTTCCTTTTCTTTTAATTTAACGTAGGTAGCAGACAAGCATTCAAGGATTACAAGTACAATAACTCTTAGGATTACGTCAGAAGTAGCTTGCTATTTGCAAATTTTAATTACATCCCATCATTGCAGACACCCTGCTGATAATATGACATCAAAGCAAATGCGGATAGCCACCCTTGGACCAACATAATCATTCATTCCTTTGTAACCACCCTTTTCAAATTGAACTGTAGCGTCATATGAATAGAGATGAAAATGATGATGAGGTAGTAGTTTTAGACGCAAATGTAAGTTGGTATTGAGGTTTGGAATTAATATCTGTCAGCTTTTAGGCTCTTTGAACAGTATTATGAGCATTTGACACTATAAGTGTGCGATATGAAGAAGGACCTTTGTAGGGATTATAGGACAAATGAGACAGGGAGACAAAGTATATACTAAGTTATAGTGTGATTCATAAATGCTTCTAAGAAGACTTGAGATATTAATATTCGGATCTCTCTTAAATTGTTTGCATCATTTGCATATTTGTTAAATTGTGCATTTCATGCAGGAGGTTCAGTTTCTTCTGATTGCGATCTTAATGTTGTTCACGTTATACTAAATACACTTCGATTAAGCTATGCTTAGTGTTGTGTCGAAAGAGAAAACAATTAAGAATAAAAAATGACAACAAATTTTTTAAATGATTCCGGACAACACACTTTAATAAAAAAAACTTGCTATTTGACAAATCAAACAAACTATGATTGCATATTTCTGAAGTCAAAGGGTTAATCTTCCAAACTGTTACTGTCTTCTTCCATTACATCCCAAAGCGTTCGATTCCTAAACTCGATGTTTTTAGTCTCTTCAACTATTTTCTCTTCACTAAGTCGTTGTTCTGGAATCGATTCCAAATCTTCATCGAGAAGTGATGTGACTGAGAGAAGCGTTGAGTCTGTGATGTTGACTGTGTCTCCTGCGTCTCCCCTTTCTGGCTGACTTCTTGTCGTGCCTAGAGTCTGCAAAGATAGAAAGCTGTCTTCAGAAATTATCTCCACATGTGACTAGTACGGGTATCTTTAAATGTTAGTAATATTCTTACTTGACGTTAAAATCTTATCTATCTTTTAATTGTGTATATTGAGAATTAAAAAATGCAATCATCTATTTCCATACCCATTGTCCCTATGGAAGAAATAACATTTTCATTTTCCAAATTACAAACTATCAACCTCCGTTCGAGTAGTAACAAAATTTTCAAAGAAAAGTCTACACAATCAATATTTCCACCAATATTTCAGTAATACTTGCCAATGCGTCTCCAATGCAAGATCTTCTCCTTACAGAGTGTTGACTATTCATCATAGCCTGGAAATTTTCTTAATCAATAACAGTCCTTTTGTCATTTAATACTTCAAACACATTTTTATTTGGTATCGTTGAAAGACTGGCTACTGATTTTTAGAACAATTTTATCATCAGTGTTACTTACGTCAATAATAGCCATGTGTAGGATAGGCACTTCTAATCTGAGTGGTTTGATCTCCTGCGGCTCTTCATCCAAATAGGAATATTCGGTGGGAACCTGCAAAATTGAAAGAGTTATTAATACTGAATCAACACCACAAAAAAATAAACTGGTACTATGCATAGAACTGTCGCGGAGAACCTAACGGGTAACCGGGGCTCCGGCTCGACGTGCAGGAGAAGGAACGGGGTGGTTTGTAGTCAGTAAGAGTCTGACACTCCCTCCCGCCTCACCCAGGCGGGAGCAGTCATTCGATGATTTTCCCCCCTTAAAAAAAACTATGCATAGAACTAGGCTTTTTACAAAATCAATACTAGCGTAAGCTACTTACAGAGGTGGGTGGTAACTGCCAATGGACCAATTGAAAGAACATTTTTTTTTTATAAATAATTAGTTATTTGATTTGAAGTAACATTCATACCCGTCGTAGTCTCCACTTCTCAAGAAACTCGTTGGTCTGTCTCAAGGCTTCCTTGCTTTCATGAAGGAGATCATCGATTCGATCCTTGCTTCGAAATTGCTTGTACTTATTTAGGAACTGAAAGACATTTTGTTGTACTTAGAATGTATATCATCACTTAATAAATATTGTAACAAATAGCGAAAGAGTGTTTGAAACTACACAAGCAAAATTTTAAACCGAATGATGAATACAGAAAGAATGAAAAAATATATAGCCACATTAATATTGTTATTGATAAAATCAGTAGGACAAGATTATAAACGTTATTCTGAAATACAGATGAATTACCCATTGTTTTATTTGAAAGTTATTAAAACTGCAAAGAATGAATGTCCCTAAAACCCCATAACTACCTCTATTAAGCTAAGCCTCAGATTTATGTTAAATAATGTACTAAGAAATAAAACAATCCAAAACTAATACCAAACATACAGCAATCGTGAGACTCAGGACCAAAATCTCCATAAAAAGCACGGGCAAACTTATAGGATTCTCTGGCAACACAGTCACATTCTTGGCTTCTTCCCTAACAGTCTTCTTGACGAAGCACGCGATCTTACAGAAGATTTTCTGAAACATGTCCACGAACCCATGGCCGAGGATGAAGTCGATAAGGATTAGGCTGAGAAACACAGCTCCATAGAGAATGGCACTGCAAGCCTCGACCAACATGTTCGAGACTGTTCTATTGTTTTTAGAACTGAAATTCACATAATTTTATACGGCACGTACAATTTGCACATTTTACATTGGGTTGAGTGACGGATTGTGTTTTTTTTATTGTTTCTTCTCTGTCATGTTGGTTCTAGAGGTTGGTAGTTGACAAAGAGTTTGCATGGACTATAATAGGTCCTTGTTAAGGCTAACGTTTCTCGCCTATCAGTTGAAAGTGGTATGTAACATTTTGTCTTGGATCGTGGGTATACATATGCACAACACACTCAGACTCAAAAAAGGCAGCAAAAAGTTTACATAAAAAGTTATTCTGTGCAGGAACCGACCATGTTACCCATAGCGCAGTACCGACTTAGATTATGATACGATAACATGATAAGTGTTTCATGAAAATCAGAGGGGAAAATTGTTGTCACGGTCGGTGCTTAGTGACGTAACAGTGAGCCTGCGCGAGTAAAACCTTTTTCATATCGACAGTCACCATAGAAACAAACTTGTTGAACTTCACAACGCCAACATTAAAGTCGACGAGAACACTTATTTTTACCTTTTTAACATTTTATTTTCAGTAATACAAGTATAAATTAAATAAAAATTTAAAAAATGGTACGTATTCTCAGTGTGTTTAATTATTCTCTTATTTATTTTATGTTGACAACGTTTGAAGGATTTTGGAATATGTTTAGTTGTGAAATCTTGAATTATATTTCCTTTTCAGGCACCAAAAGCAAAAGAAAAAGCTAAAAAGGCTCCAGGTACGAAAATATTATTGATTAATATAATTATGCATTACTTTATGTTGAAACTGGTATTGTAAGTGTTGTTTAACACTTGTAGATAGCGATAAGTAATCAGAAGTGAGATTAAGTGATTGTATGTTATGTTGAGGTTTATAATTTTCCCTATGATCGTTTATTGCTATTAAATCTTTTACTTATGTATGTCTTGTCTGCGAATAATTCCAACCAAGGTACTTATTTTATAATCTTATTACTTTGCAGCCATTATTATTGATGGCGTGGACACATCGGATATGTCTCGAGAAAAACTCGAGCAGTTCACTCTCAAGGTCAAAGAGGAACTAGACAAAGAGAGAGAAGAACGCAACTACTTCCAGCTAGAAAGAGACAAAATAAGAACATTCTGGGAGATAACACGACAGCAGTTAGAAGAAGCTAAAGCAGAGTTACGGAACAGAGAAAGAGCAACAGAGGAAGCACAAGAAGAAAACGAGGCTCTTTTAGAAACTGAGAAGCAAAAGATAAAACATTTGAAGTATGAACAACAAGCTGCAGCTGCTGCCTTACGAGCTGAGAACTTAGTAGCTTTAAAAGCAGCCAAAGAAGAACATACTGAACAAGAGCTAGAACTACTTAATGACAAGAGATTACTAAGACAAGAGATAAGAGAAAGAATCCTAGCTGCTCAAGACGAATTGAGGAGAGCTAAATTGATACATGCTGAAGAAGTATCAAAGGTCAGAGATGAGTTTGAAGAGAGAGCTCGTCAAATAGAAGATAAAGCAGACAAGAAATTACATGAAACTAAAGTTGAATTGACAGTAAAGCACAGAACAGAGATTTCAGAAGTTGAAGAAAGGAAGAATAAACAGCTGTCCGAACTAATTCATCATCACGAAAGAGCATTTTCTGATTTAAAGAATTATTACAATGATATCACCTTGAATAATTTGGGTAAGTATCTTTCCCTGTTGGAATAAGGATAATTTATAATAGACATTCGATTAGACGAACTAATTTTATTTGATGATAATAATTTTATTTTCCGCCTCCATATTTTAGGACTAATTAGTAGTCTAAAACAGCAAATGGAAGAGATGCAAAAAGTAAAAGAACGAGCTGAAAAGATATCAAGGGATGCTATTGCTGAGGCTAAGGGTCTTAGAGAGCCGTTAGAAGCAGCCATCATTGACAACAAGGAATTGAAAAGGCAAATGTCTAACTATGATAGAGATAAAGCTGCTTTGGCTGTAAGTATTGAAATAAAAATAATCCTGTACTGTTATATAAAGCTGAACAGTGTATTGTTCGTTTGTTTGAATAGGCTAATCTCAGTAACTACTGGTCTGATTAAAAAAATGATTTTGTATTGGATAGCTCATTTATCGCGGAAGGCTATGGGCTATAAAACATCACCCTAAGATCATTAGGTGCTGAGCAGAGCGCTTGAAATAGCGCGGAAGTAGCTTTTAAAAGACATAAAATTGAGAAGTTATGGATGAATGTGTGTTAATTACAGGCAAAAACAAAACAATTAACATCTCTAGAAAAACAATTCGATGTCCTAAAATGGGAGTATGAAGTACTTCAAGTACGCTTTGATAGAGTCCAGGCAGAAAGGGACGAGCTCAAGGCGAGGTTCTCAAGAGCTGTTTTAGAAGTGCAGCAGAAGGCATCCTTGAAGACTGCCTTGTTGGAAGCCAAACTAAAGAACATGGAAGGACGTGATACGGGGCCGGGTGAAATTCATGTAAGATTTAGAATATTGAAAAAAATTCTTCTGTTTCTAAATACTTATTAATTTCTATGTTAAAATTTAGTGTTACTTCGTATTATGATACCAATTTATCGATTTTAGTTTTTCTACTGCAAAAATGTTCCTACGAGGCTTAAACTCGTGAATAGTATTTGAGTATTAAAATATTATAAAACTTACCGATTGCAAAGTACAAAGATGTAAGATATATGTCGTGGTGGCCCGGAGGTCTTAAGCTGCCTGCTTCTCATGCCCCATGGTGTGTTCAAAACCTACCATTAGCAAGTACCAATGTGACTTTTTTGCGTTATAAGTACTTCCTAAGATTATTTAGACATCACTGACAAACGGTCAAGGATGACATCGTAAGGAAACTGAACTTAAAATATCTAATTATACCTAAATTTGAAACCGCCAACCCGCATTAAATATGTGTGGTGATTAATGCCCAACTTTCTCCATGTGAGAAATGGTCTTTGGTCAGCAGTGACCACTTATAGCCTGTTGATCAATTTTTAATGTAATAGGTATGCGTCACAAAAGTTTTAATATAAATAATGTCTCAAGTCATAAAAATGATGTCTAATGATTGTTACAGAACCTTCTTAAACTAAAAGATACACAAATAGATGACCTCCGATATGAAGCTGCTCGCCTTCGTAAAGCTCATGACGATTTGTTGGCAACTTATGAAGCTAAGCTGGCTCGACTTGGAGTACCGAAAGAGGAACTTGGTTTCAAGTAAGAATTTAAACTAAGCGCCATCTATGACAGTAGCGTTGAACTAGTCACCCATCAAACGTCATTCATTAAATCCAACGCCATCTGGATAACAACAGGAGAACTTATCGTTGTACTAGGGTTGTTTCTCAGTATAAAACCTAGATGTCGTTGTTTTCAACTATTTATTCGTTTTCAGACCACTCAAAGCGGTTGCTGTGGCAGGTTTGAATCCAATTATGGGGCAAGGGCCGGCTGGGTTGGTTACTAAAGACCCTTAATAACAATTTGTATAACGAATCTTGTTCAAGTGAACTGTTAACTACAACTTAATCACGGAAGTAATATTTATTAAATATTGATTTCAGTTTATTTATGTGCTATAAAAATATATAAAAAGTATTAATAAACTTATTTTTCAATATTGAGTGTTTTACTGCATTAAAAAAGAAAGAAAAAGTAAGTAGATTTAAAAAAACTCAATAGCTTTCTTCCGGATACAACTGTTTTGTTTGCAAACATTATTATAGGGTCTAACTTAAGGTCTTAAATGGAAGAATAAGGAGTAAATTTATTAAAAACAGGTAGAGGAAAGTGAAACTCACAGTTTGAAGCCAATGAGTGTACTTTATTCCCTACTAACGATTTTTTATTTATTTCTTTATGTACAAAACGGTTATAAGGCAACAGTTCCAAATGAATGAAAACGCACTTTACAATGAATATTAATAATTCAAACATTTCGCTTTTGTTATTAGTTTTTTTTTTTAATTAGCAAGAAAATTTTGCGCCACACTTTCAAAATTAAGCCGGTTGCACACATTATTTTCCCAATCGAATTATTTTTGAATAATTATTCATAAATAATAGTTATTCATCAAGTTAACATAATTATTCAAAAATTATGTTAACAAAACTGCAGAGTAAGACGTTTTAGCGTATTTAAAGTTTTTAAAATATAAGTGTATTGTCGTACCTAGCGCTAACTTAAATGCCCTTATGACAGTTTATTCGACAAATAAGTAGTTATTTATTTGAATAAACTTTGTTAAAACAAGTTCTAATACTTAGTTCACGTAAGTCACGATTCACAACACTTTTTCTATATCAACTTTGTAATTTATTGTGAAACCTATTAAAAACTAGAAACTTTGGACAAAATCCAAGGTTTCCTGGAAAACGGCCAGATACAAATTAACCTTTAGAACAATACGATTTCTGAATAAATTCATTTTCTTTTTTAAGTAAATTGACTTAGTCTACATTTTATTGTAATTGGCGATCTTATTTAGAGTCATTTTACCTGTATCTAGGTTAAATGTGTGTAACCGGCTTGTTTGCGTAACTACTAAAAGTTATGCTCTTAACACCTAATTGTTTTACAAATATCTAAATTTTTGAAACCAATCTCATCGATTTTTTTTTACAAAATACTTCTAGGTGAACTTCATCTATGCTGCTGATGACATTTATTTGTGTTTATTACTCGATAGATTGATGATAATGTTCATTATTAATTATATTATTCTTATATACATATAAGTGTTTTGTTTCAAGCCAAAAAGCATTGAAATAGCGATAGCTCCCATAAAACAGTTTAACAAAATACACAAAACATCAGCAGTTTAATATTACATTGTATGATAAAATTAATAATATTAATTCATTTTAAAACATGTGTATATTACACAGAAAAATATTCAAAAATAATAAAAATTGTGTAAGGGTGTGTTAAAAAGTCGTAAACGTGTTTACCTTGAGAATTGAGGTGAGGTCATATTTCTACCAATACTGTACATTAAAAGACTGTAAATATTTGAATAATTATTCTGAAAACATTCAAACTTTTAAATATATAATTTATGAAATATCAAGATAATTATATTTAACAGTAGATAAAATTGAAATATAAATGACAAAAGTAATAGAAATATAACCTCAATTTTCAATAGTTTATTGGAAGAAAGGGCATCAATGTGAGAACCTATCCGAAAGTGCCTTAATAATACCATCACATTAAAGCATTTTACATACAATTGCAATACAACAATATCATTGGAAATATTAAAAATACGTATTATTAACACTAAAATTTCTAAAAAACTATACACAACCGAAATTCAGACGTTTACACGGAGAAAAATAATAAAAAAATTATATCTAAAAAATAATTTGACTTCGGTTTACGTTTTGTGATATTATTTTAACAATTGCTTTTTTGCTAACATTAATAATTATTTTTGAATAATGTATTAATTAAATTATTTTAACATAATTAGTTTGAAATATTTCATAATTTTTATTATAATCTGAATAATTATAGCATTTTTGAATGTAATAGATATTTTGTACATAAAATAAATATTTGTATTAAGTTAACGTTTTTATAATCTTATTGAAAGTATCGATTTTTGTCATAAACTCGTACAATATTTTCATTTAATAATTTGATATTGGTAATTAATACGTCTAGATGTGTATAGATTTATCTTTATAAAATAATAAATACAATGATTAAATATACATAAATTATTTTCATAAAGCCGTATAATATAATTTATTTTACAAATATTTGGGATAAAACCACCATACAACACATAGTAAAACTATAAAGGCGTATCTATCGGTTTTCAAAATTATACAAACACTTAATGATATCGAATTTAATACACTAGACAATGTGCGTAGATTTTAGCAATATCTATCATACTCATCCAGTCTACGTGAATTTATTTTTAATTAAATATAAATTATTAAATTGGTATAAAATAATTATGTTCGAAAAATTATTAGATTTTTACAAAATTATTAGAGAAAATTGACTGTGCTTGTGATTTGTGTCCATAAAATATTGTTTAGGAATGAAACCTGGCAATAGGCCTGGACTTGCGTAAAAGTATACTCAAATAATGGGTAAATGTTCAAAATGCAATCACATTTTATTTATTTCACAAAGAAGAACATATCAGTAAAAATTATTTTGAAGTAAAAAGTTTAAGAAATCTCGACTGGCGTTTTATTCTAGATTTTACGCATTATTCACAAGCCTTTTTGTTTTTTTATAGTAAATATTAAAAACTTATTATGCATCGCTTACAACCTTAGGACATTTGAATTCGTATTCAAAATAACAGTGCATCGCTTGGGCTGGTCGATAATGTTGTGTTTTATCGTCTTACTTCAGAAAACTGTTAACAATGCTAGAAGCAATTTTCTAATCAATATCATAACTTCATTATTTTACTAATTATTGAATAACTTGATTGTAGTTATATTGATTTTCTTTCAGTTACTCAAATATGAGGTGTAACTTCAACATACATTAAGTGAAGTTATTTGGAGCCTTCAAAACAGATTTTTTTACCAAAAATTTTTTGTAGTAAGACGATAATAGTGAAATAGAGGCAACTAATTTCGATATAATTGATTAATGTATTCTATTTTGGTGAGCATAATGGTATAATGTCGGTTCGGATCGGTATGGACAGTGTTAATGAATTTTTGAATAGTCGAGGCACGGGACGGAGAATCGATATCGCGCAGCGCGTGGCAAGGAATACAATAATCTCAACCGTTCGTACATTTATGATCGTTCAATTCACTCGTTCCAATTAATTTTTTATTCAATTTGAAATTTTTCTAACCACATCATACCTTCAGTCAAGCTTTTGGGTTTAGCTAACTTAAACGCAACTATTTAAAATATAATGTGCATTATTACTCTCAAATTAACTAATTTATTATATCTTATCAATTAAAATGATATTAATGAATTGTACTGGTGGGACAACACTATTTGTTATTTTTAATCGATGTATTTTTTTTACTAAACTTTTTTTGTTTATTATATTTTTATGTATTTACTTTTCTCTTTCACTTTCTCTAGCCATCTTCTATATTTGATTGGTTTATCATAATGGATTTGAAAATCAACAATTCGATAAAATTATTTTACTATTTTTGAACAGCTTGCTTTTTATACATAATTTTTAAAATATACAATACTTTTATATCTTCAATATATTTTAACAGCACGCGTGCAGTTTGACACATTAGCGTACGAGCGTTAAAACCTTATTTATAATTACTATTAGGAGATAAAATTCTTTTATTTACTTATATAAATCTTTTGTCGCGATGATATCTCTTGTTTTGTGGAAACCCTTCTGTATTGAGCAATAATTCTCCATGAAAGGTAGTTAATAACAATGAAAAATGACTTAATAAACCTTTAGTTATACCATAGCACTTAATAGTAATAGGAAAATTGGGTAAACTTAATTAGATATTATCGTCATCAAGAAGATTATTATTATCATCAAAATTATTGTATAATTTTAAATTATCCAGTCCAGTATATTTTATTAAAATCAAATAATTAAAATCCTCATAACAAGAGACATCACCGCCATAGTATTCAGTATTACTTTTTATTTCACAACGCGTTATAAAAAAAATCTTTCGCCCGTTTTCGACCTTCTCAAAGTCGTGCTTTCATACTGTGTCTATCCTACCTTCTCACTCTTGCACTCTTACAGAATAGAATGAGAGGAACAGCAATACTCAAGCGTGTTATAAATCACATATGGAGCACAATATAGATCATAAAGTTTGTTCATATTGTTCAGCTCATCTCGTGATGCACTCTGTATCCAAAGCCACCTCTTCAGGAATCCTGTCATCTGAAAAGAACATATTTATAATCAATTTCATATCTTTAAACTATATTTAAGGACGGGGTGAAATTACGGGGTATGAATCATTATTTTCGAACAACATGAGCTATTTTATTAGGTACAACATTTGTTAATTATAAACATTTTTATCTTACTGGTGTACACCGTGTATGTGATATAAAACATTATTTCAAATGTGCAAATAGCGTTTTAAAGTACACTTTTAAAGGCTTATGCATGTCTTTAAAAGCATGTATGAACGTTAAAGTATAAACGAACGAGACAGGTAATTTAAAGTGTTTGAATACCAAGCCATTAGGGCTGATGGCTGACATTGAAACAGTTTGCTAATACAAGCTGAACTTTCCCCCTTTCCCTATTGCATGTGGCAAGAAATGGAATAAGTTTTAGATGGTCAAAACTTCCTACTTATGCTTACCAATAGTTATGGATCATAAAAGATGGAAGATAGAGGTCAATGACATGAGTATCTCAAGGAGTTAAGGCTACTTATACTGTCTCTTAATATCCATGAATAAAGCATATTTTGTAACGTTACAAGTTTGAATAATTAATTTATTCATTTTCGAATAATTATTTAACAATAATTATATTTGAATATTTAATTAGCGCTAAGCTTCAAGCGTAATACAAATATTATTATTGGGTTTGTTAGTGCTGTAGTTTCAGTGCTTTAGCGTGTCATACGATTTTGTGCCTTAAGCATATGTTAAAAAAGCTTTCGCCACCAGAGACGTACCTCTGTGTTATTTGTTGTTAGTCACGTTAGGCGTTCACGAACGATGACTTGGTCCTGTCGGATGTAGAGAATTTTATCAAAATGTGTTAAATCTGGACATTTTAAGGGGCAAATTAGTTTTCAATATTTTAACCAATTCCATCAGTGTGTGGTTTTAAATATTGCTCAAATCTTGTCTAAGAATCATAAACGTTGAATAGACACGCTTTCTCTTTCACAATCGTAGAATGATGAAATGAAATAAACAGATGACAGAAAATAACAAAATTGGAAATAATAGGAATGCATAAAAGGTTTACTCACCCAGACAATGAAGCAGAATTAGAAATTGGCGGACTATTGGACTCAAAGCCCTCTTTAGGCTTCTCATTAGCCAGTTGCATCTTCAGCTGATGTCCAAAACAGGCCAGATCCTCCCTAAACGTATCAGATCCTGGGGTTGTTGGTTTCTCATCATCACCAGTAGCCATCGCCTCAGCATCGCTCTTCAATGGCGCTTGTTCAGACTCTTCCTCAGTATTATAAATCTTAAAGTAAGCAAACGTCAAATATATCACGGATATTATGAATGACGGTATAGGTATTGCCATGGCATACACCAGGTTTAAAGTATTCTGCCACATATCCAGCTCAGTGATTACCAATCCTGGGTCCACGCGGCTGTAATAGCAAGTATAATTGTTGCCGATTGGTTTGTGCTTTGCGTAGAAGATCGTACAATTGAGGATAGGTGGGTACCCACAACCTTTCACGTTTGGAAACAGTCGAGCACCAGTGAAGTACCATTCGGAGTCGTTGCCTTGTAGTCCCGTCGGTATAGCATCAGGTAGATCTTCCTCCCCCATTTCTGGATACGATTTATCAGCCGCAACCTCGTAGTTTTCGTAATCGTAGTCTTTTCTCAGCGCCCGTTCTTCTCTAATTAAAGTTTCCAAGTCTTCAGTAGGCGTTACATTAGGGTATATGCCCAATTTGTAGTTGACGCGAATCTGGGTGCACTCAAAGAGATCTTTGGTGCAACCTTCCCTGCAGGATGCCCAGGAGCAGTTGCTGGCGCCAACGAGATGCTTTACCCCTGTCGTAACGCATAGTGCTGCGACTGGATCGAATTGCATGAATATTGTGGTGAAGGCTGGTTCTATGACGAATGGTACAAGGAAGAGGAACGCAAAAAGGCTGAACGTCCCAAGTAGAACGAAAGTGGCTGTAGTGTAAAATAGAAGTTTCTCAGCGAAGGTTGGGGGTACAATTTCTTCGTCTGTCATGGTGTGGGAGCGCTACGGGCGACCATAGCGCTGTCTCAGCTCGCTTGTGTCATATCATCTTACATCTCATTTCAGTCTTTCAACGTTAGTTTGGATTGTTATTATTTATTTACATATCTGTTGTGACTAGGAAAGCTTTATTGAGGCTGTAAATGTATCATGTTTAATCCATAATTCACAAACATTCTATAGGTATTTTTGAACTATTTCCATTCCATAAGCACTTAAACGTTACCTAACATCATTTATTCTTTGGCTATCAAAATGTAGGCATCAAAACAGAAACGTAACTGGCACTTGACATATTCCGTGTAGCATTCCGACGTAAGGCATAGCTTCAATGCGGTCTAGATTGACAGACGACAATAACTAGGTGAAGGTGTGGGCTGACTGAGAGTTAGGAATTGAGCAATTAATAACATGCGCCCTTGGAGACTATTTTTGAATGGATTTTTGTATCTGCAGCAAATATTGGTAGTATTTAATTTTCTCTTTTGTACCTATGTAATGACCATCTCCGTTAGAAATCTTTGCTTGATATCCGGATAGTAAAGTTATAGTCTAATAATAACTAATTATAGATTGATTTTCTACCTTTATTTATTTATTTATGTAGACAACACAGACAATAAACAGGAAAAAATGTACATACATATAACAGGTACATGGGTACTGCATATCCCTTATGGAATTTTTTTTGGAGCCCTGTGATATTTTAGGGTCGAAACCTTGACCGATTTTTTAGTCCATCCTATTAAAAACAAAAATGGTAAACCGTGAGTCATCTATTACCTAGTTAATATATGATCAAATTCTCAACTACCCTTTACATACATGTATCTTCAGTAAAATATATACGACAATAATCTTCAGAGCCATTAGGCAAAGGTTAACGGATCGAGGCGCGACCACTGGCACCACACACCCAGACGCCAGACTGTCTGGCCAGGAATTCAGTATCCAAATATCGATTTGAGCTAGAATTAGCATTGACAACACTTTTGTTTAACTTCGTTTTTAGGTACATGTTGTGTTTAGATAGAAACCTTCATCGGTAAATCTTTCATTGTTTTAAAATTTCGCCAAGAACTGCCATGACTACTGAGATTTTTTTTAAATCCATAGCTATTTTTTTGTTTTTCTATAATGTTTTGCTGTATTCTTAGTATTCCTATCCTATAAGGGTAATGATAAACCAAAATACTTGAAAATATAGTTATCACACTCGCCAAGAAAAACTCAGAATGCTATTGAAATGCGCATTTCATTCTTTTTATGAAATGTACGTACTGGTTACTGAGTTATTAATCCCATGGGTGTCATCAAATAGTAATTTAGATGCCATCCTAACACAACGGTAATGTACCAACTGGTTAAAGTTTATAAAAATGTGTGAATATTGCGGAAATAAATGAAAATACATAACATAACATAACATCACGCCTTTTATCCCCGAAGGGGTGGCAGAGGTGCACATTATACCACTGTACAATGTAACACCCACTTTTCACTATTTATGTTATGAGTCCCATGTAATAGAGGGTGAGCCTATTGCCATATACCGGGCACATTTCCAGACTCCGTGCTACTATTGAGATTTTTTAAAAACCCAGTAATACTTTGCCCGACCCGGGAATCGAACCCGAGACCCCCTGCCCGGCAGTCGCACTTGCGACCACTCGGCCAGCGAGGCGAGCGAGCGATAAATGAAAATATTATAAATCTTAATCTTAGACAAATTGAGACTGAAGAAGTCTGCCTAAAATCTGTATTAGATCATTTTTTTCAAGTTGTTTAGGTACGTGTATATAAAATTAAATTATAAATACGTACGTTTTTCTATTAGCAACTCGGTACATAGTTAATATTTTGTATGTATTCGACTGTGTCTTTTTAATGTCCAGAATTGAAACGTCTTCATTCTAATAGATCAATATTATAAGCTATACTGCCAACTATTACTTCGATAGAAAAGTGAAGGGTTAATTATCATTGCATCGATTTCCTTCTGAACCTATAAATTATCGATATCTGACCTTTTTAAAAGAATATTTTTAAACTCAATCCTACCATTTTGATTCACAATTCATGAACTGAAATTATCGAGGTCGGTCATTAGATTATGAATTTTATATAAATGCTATTCCGTGTCAAGATTCCGTGTCAAACCGAATATTATGAGAAATGTAACATATTTAAAGCTTGGTTTCGTGGTTCAAATAATTATTATTGAATAACTGATATAACTATTTAATAATAATTATTTCTGAATAACAAATTATTCGATATAATTGGACTAAAGAATAGAATATTTTCTTGTATTTTTTTTATTATAGACATTAATGTTAGCTCGTAGTTTCCGTTAGATAATGTATTTTTTAAGGGGGGAAATCATCGAATGACTTCTCCCACCTAGGTGAGGCGGGAGGGAGTGTCAGAATCTTACTGACTAAAAACCACCCTTTTCCTACTCCTGCACTTCGAGCCGGAGCCCCGGTAACCCGGTAAGTTCTCCGCGGCTCAGATAATGTATAGGCTAACCATTAAGCTAAACTTGACTGGGTTACGGACAAAATAAATCACCAATTCTAGGTTTTTGACAGAAACTCAATAGAAATTTTATCAAAAGTTAATCTAAATTCCGATTTTCATATTTACATAGAATTAAAAACTCTGTTTACTTTGAAGGCCAAAGGAATAAGATTTAGTTCAAAAGCGATTACTGTTGGTACAAAAAGGCAGCTAGGAGCTAGAAGCTTTCTCGACATTTATATGCGTTTGCCATAATATCTTCGATTGTCAGTCATGGACATCATGACTGGCTATATTAACATAATACTTTTGTAGCAAAATAATTAACTATAATTTTACACAGAAACTAAAAGAAAATGAGTATAATTTTTTCGACGCTTTAACTTAGCTATTTTCTTCATTTGTTTTCTTTTCTTTTTTAATTTTCTTATATGGATATAATAATAATATACTTTTTATTGTTTTTAAAATTTATTCTCACTTTTTATTTTATTGGTAGTGTACAGTAATTTAAGAAAGAAAATAAAAGAAGAAATAAAAAAGGTAATTTTACTTATTTTAACTTGGCCTCACTTTTGAGCTGAAAGCCTCCAATATTATGCTACTTTTTTACCAGCCAGCGTATACCATGGATCTATTTTAGGCTATAATATGACTGTATCGAACAGCAGAATTTCATCGGTTGATTGATGGCACTTAGGCGCGACAGGAAAACATTAGTAGTCGTAGAATATTGACGAAAAACAAACTAAACAGTATCGATGACTAACCACTGGTTATTATGTTATTATACTGGGTTATTTGCGTTTGCTTGTGTCATTAGTCGAGTGGTAACAAATATTAAATTGGAGAAAGAATATTTGAGTTAATTTTCTAAAGCAGGCATTCCCAGGCTTGTGGAATATCTAGCTAAGGAGGAGGCGGAGCGCGTGAGGGAACGAATCTCCTCACGCTCTAGCCGTCGCGAGGGACACTCTGGGCGTCGAGGATCGCGAATTCGCGAGACATTCTCCGGCCGCCGCCCAACCAGAACCAGACCCGAGCGTAAGGCGCGTCGCGTTCTGCGCGCGACTCAAGGAGCCATCCATCAGACCACCACGGATGAGGTCCAAAGAGATTAACGGGTTGCCGAGGCTCCAGCTCGAAGTGCAGGAGTAGGAACGGGGTTGGTTTTTAGTCAGTAAGAGTCTGACACTCCCTCTCGCCTCACCCGGGCGGGATAAGTCATGCGATGATTTTCCCCCCTCAAAAAAAAGGCTTGTGGAATATAATCTCTATGGCTCAATGCACATAACATGACTCTAAACTACTTGTTGTGGCTTAAAGTTTGATAATAGAAAAACGGTATACCGGTCATAATTTTTAATGGTTTCAAGGCATTGATAGGCAGTAGTGCTAGCTTTCTAGCACTAAACCATTTATTTTTTTTAAACTTTGCCCCAAATTAGGGTTTTTACAAACATACAAGTTCACATACACGTGACACCCAGATCCGGAACAACAATTTGTGGATTACACAAAGAATTGTTCCGTGCGGGAATTGAACCCGCGACACGTTGCGCGGGAGCCGGTTGCCCAGCCACCGCACCAACCGTGCAGTCAAATATTCAAATTCGAAATACATTTAAATTAATTCTACGTGTATTTAACACGTACAATTAATATGATTTGTACATATCCGAAAACATTAAAACATAATGCTACGAATGTCGGTAATAATATTATACCATTAATTAGTCACTGATTATTGAATAAATAAACTGTAAGTAAATATGATTTACTTTATTGTATTAATTAATAAAAAAATTATTTAAAACTTTAGTGAAATACTGCGAAGCTTATTAATCGGTTCGATTTTACATTACCAATATTTTAAAATATTGTTAATATATTAATTGCTAACATGTAGCATTAACATATTACGTAGCATTAACCCTTTGAGTACCGTCATTATAGACACAATTACATATAGAACAATAGGTGTACGGACACCGGTGTCCTCGCGGTGTTTGACAGTTTAAGGGTTTTTTCACAGTACCTGATTTTTTGTTAATAAAACTGAACTTTTTGTTAATATGAATAGATTTTTCCGCTAAATTCAATAAAATGCTAATTTGACACAATTTGAAAAGAAAATATTGTATCCAAACACATTACAATAAGGTATTTTATTTCGTAGTTAGATTAAACTATTACAACACCTTGCCTAACTGGTGTGTTAAGTCTTTAAGTCCTATGGCTTCTCTTGTAACTGACAAAATTCTGAATTAGCACACCTCGAGTGAGTAAACATACGTATAAATACATAGTAATAAACTTAATGAAATTGTAGGCAGCCTACACATTCAGGTGTATGATTTCCGAATTGACATTAATTACTACTTATTTTTAGTGTTAGTGGGTTTATTAGTCTTATTGTGTGGAGTAGGATGAAAGTTTTAGAACGAATAGTTTAAAAACAAAAAAAAAGAATAAAGAATCCATGCAATTTAAAGAAATAGTAACGTGCACTGTGCAAATGCTGGTGGGCTAGGGGTCTTGGGATCGATTCACGGGTCGGGCAAAGTACTACTAGGTTTTTTAAAAATTCTCAGCAGGGTGTCTGGAAATGTGTCCTGTATATGGCAATAGGCCCCCCCTATTACATGGGACTTGTTAAATAAATAGTAAAAAGTGGGTGTTGCATTGTACAGTGGCACTATTTTCTTTTTTTAACATTCCCCATACTACAACAATTTCTCCTAGCTACTTAACATTTTTAAATACTACAACATTATTTTGAAACTATTTTTTTATGGGATAAGTCCATAAATCTTTTTAACATTTCCGTGGATAAGCCGGTAAACGAGCAGACAGATCACCTGATGGTTAGCAATCGGGGTCGCCCATGGACACCCGGAACACCAAAGGTGTTGCCGGCCTTTTGGGAATTACAAATTTGAGGATTGTTGGGGATTCACGAATTGCGGAGATTGGGCCTCCGGTAACCTCAATCACACGACGAAACACAACGCCAGCGTTGTTTCACGTCAGTTTTCTGTGTGGCCGTGGTATCACGTATCAGAAGCATGGCTCTCCCACACTTAAATTAAGGCTGGATATTTTAGAAAATGACCTAATTTAAAGAGTATCTAAGTCACTTTACAGATGTCTCTGATGTCTCAGATGATGATACAGACAGGGTATGGGCTGACTTAGGTGATAGGATTTTTATCATGATTTTACCTAATATTTTTTTCGATGTTGCAAAGAAATACGTATGCATAATGTATTGCCACCATTTACTAGGTTATTAATTATGTAGTGGATCTAATCATTCATTAATTTAATCGAGATAAAATACCTGAATTGGACTTCAAGGCAATGAAGCGTTTGCTATCATTAAGAATCGTCTCACCCATCCAAAAACAAACATTTCCAAATACATCCTTAACCTATCAGTGGCTGTAAAAGCCACGAACAAAAGCTCTAAATATCATAAACATAATTACAGGCTGAAAATATCTTGAAAGAAAATGTTTCAGGAAACTGAAACGTGAAACTCTAAGAGTTAGCTTGGTGTAAATTCTTTTGATCCTTCTTTGTATAAGAAAAGGTTTTCGCTCTGCTTTGGTTATTAGATAATGTACCTACTTATTATACTGTTATACATATATATATATATTGTGCTACTAAATGTCGATTGACACGATTCCGACCTATCTTTCACATTATTTACACATAACATAACATTACGCTTTTTATCTCCGAAGGGGTAGGCAGAGGTGTACATTTCGGCACTTAATGCAACTGTATAATGTAACACCCACTTTTCACTATTTATGTTATGAGTCCCATGTAATAGGGGGCGAGCCTATTGCCATATAGAGGTACCGGGCACAATTCCAGACTCCGTGCTACTACTGAGATTTTTTGAAAAAACCCAGTAACATTTTTCCTGACCCGGGAATTGAACCCGAGACCCCTTGCCCGGCAGTTGCAATTGCGACCACGCGGCCAACGAGGCAGTCATTATGTCATTCACTGAGGGAAGTCTATGTCCAGTAGTAGACGACTTGACGATATGATGATGATGACAATGATTACCAGAACATGCATATGTACTTACATATATCAGACTATACCCAGGACCGTCTAAGACTACACTCCCCAGTGTAGTCTAAGTCTGTGGTAGTAAGTGTAGTCTACCTTGGGCACACAATCCCTTTTAGAACGCTTTTTTTTAACTTGCCCCACACTAGAATTTTCTCCTAAGTCGTGAGTACATTTACAAATATACAATACCACATACACATAACACCCAGACTCAGAACAATAATTTGTAGGTTACACAAAGATTGGTTCTGATCTGTTCTGCGGAAACGAACCCGTTACATGTTGCGGGGCAGCCAGTTGCCGAGCAACGATTTTAACAGGTGTGTTGTGTGTTGTGTGTCCATTGTATAAATGGTTGGTCCTTTGGGGGCTCCTGACGGACCTGGGCATAGGCCCCGTGCCCATTTGCTGCTAGACATTTCTACCGTGAAGTAGGAATATAAGCATATACCATCTGGTTTACTCAACACGAAATGACGAATTTAGTTAGTTTAAGTTTCCTCATATTACCTATCATTGTATGTCCGGTAGTGATAACTACCGGAAGAAAACATCCTGAGGAAACCTGGACTTATTATTTCTAATTACAAGTTTAAAACCGCCAACCCGCATTGGGCAAGCGTGGTGATTAATGTTCAAACCTTCTCCATGTGAGAAGAGGCTTTGCTCAGCAATGGGCACTGATAGACTGTTGATTATGATGATGATGATGATGATGATAATAACTACCTAAATAAAATTTTGTAAGAAAATACACAAAACTTGAAAAAGGTTCATCAATACTACTTATACTGTCCATTAAATATCCATCTCCTTTGAAGAAGTAAGCAGAAGCGCAAAAATAATATAAATAAATTTTGCAAGTTTTGTTATGAATCCCAATATAGGATGCATGCGTGTATAGGGCATAATAAGCTATAAATAATTACCTCTATCACTATGAATATTAAAATCCTCTCGCTTCTTTAACGTTATGAGGTAATCAAGGGTGCAAAAATAGATTGACTTTTGACCTCTTACGTTAATTGAACCCTGTGACAAACGACTAGTTTAGTGGTTATTACTGTGACATTAGGTGAGCGATCCTAACCACGACTGTCCATGACTTAAGTTCGATTCCGAAATCAATTAATGTGATTTTTTAGTTTTGTTGCTATTGTGCTGTTTGGGTCTTTTTAAATAGAGTCGGACCATATAAAAATGAAACTAATAATGATCTAATGTTAATTACTAACAGCCTCGATAATCACCTTAAAATGCTGGCGTTAGGCGGATGGATCAAGGGCTTGATACAGAAGGCAGTTATCCTTGAAACGGCACGTATCGTAAGGAGGTTTCTGTCTCTGGAGCCCTAACCACCAGTAGCTTGGACCATGCTCCCGCTACTGGATCGACTCCTATTTTTATATATTATTTTTGTGTGTTTTTAAGTTGTATTGATAAATGTAACTTTAGAGAATTCTAAATAAATGAAACTAATAAAACATAGTAACAGGTGAAAAACAAACATATCGTCACATAAGGCTCATAGTTCAATTTATCAGTTCAGTGTTCAGTGCATCACCTTAAAGTTGTCTTGTAAGAATTGCCATGACATTTCAGCCACTCGTGTACTCTAGTTGCAAAAAGGTACGTAAATAAAATAAATAAATAGTTCAGTATGGAACTATCATGAGTAAAAACCCGTAACATATTACAACAGCAAGTTATTATCATCGACAGATGGATATTATTGAAAATCTCCACACTAGTCAACCCTGCATTCTTGAGATACAAGATCGAACCTAATTAAGACACTTCATACCACATATACATAAGCATAAAGTTAGTCAGAATGATGTAATAACAATACTCAATACAAGACGTCAAATGTAGGTGGAGAATAGACCCTATTTCGATATATTCAGGGGAAAGTAGATTAAGCTAGATCACGAGGCAGATTACCTATGGGCTGACCGAGTCAAATGGGCCACAAGAAACCCAGTGTCAGAATGCGCCAGACAATCCACAAACAGGGAGAGATGGCGGGAGATCGTGAGGAAAGCTGTATCGGCCACCAACACATGTACGGCTGTAATTGTGTTGTCTCAACGTGACCACGAACGCTCTGCCAAGAGCCAAACGACAGAGATGAAGACAATAGATTCATAATAAAAGTAGTCAAGAGTTAGTGCCTCTTTCTCTGACTATCCTCCGGGGATTATAAATGTGAAAGTATGTTATGTGTATTATGTTATCTGTAAATAACTTACCTATTCACATCTGGGTTTGACATAACGACTCTTTTACATTTCAACGTCAACTTTTGTTTTAAAACTAAATAAAACGCGAATTTAACCTTTAATTACACTGAATACATTAATAAGTATTCTACTGCTTTACCCAAGGATCTTAAAGGCGCATTTATAAAGTCAATAAAACGTGGTATGTTAACATATAACCCTTCTATATTGCACGCCTTAGAAAATGCTAATCGAAAGCTTAGACACCTACTTACATTGGTCCTTCAATAGTTCTATATGAACTAACTAGAATAAAATGATCCCTGAAAAACTTAGACCTTTTTTGTACCGTTAAAAGCACTATTACATAACCTAACCTCAAACTATATGAGTTTGACGTCACACGACACTAAAACAACGGTACACATTGAATTAGAATCACGAAAATGTATCGCAAACATGCAATCAAATGCCATACCAACGATTTCTTACAGTTTTCTCAATTAAAAAACGAACGAAACAAACATTTTTTGTTACATAATTTTTCATAAAATTATTCCATTTTAAATGAACATTATTTTCGCATAATAAAATGGAATTAAAATAAGAAAATACGCATAGAAATACGATACGCAGATTGACATAATGCAGTAATGACTTGACGGTATTTTTTGATCGTTTTTCTTGTAAAAATACAAGTTATTAGACTAAATAATGATTGGTACACTAATGGAATGGAAACGGTAATTAAATATATCGTGTATAGAATAAATAAATGCCTAGATATTTATTTAACCAGCCTCATTAAAACTAAACTCTCACTGTTACCATTTAAAACAAAACACGCTAAAGAAAACAATATTATGAAAAACACTTTGATGTTTTAGCACTATATCATTATGTTCTGGATTGAAAAACGTATATTTTGGAAAATTATTTTCTCTTTGACGTCTGTTTTTCGTCAGACGTCGACGCGTTCCCGCGACTCGTGTACTACTGGGCGCAGGCCGTCCCCGTCAGCCTCGTCAGCCACCTCAAAATTCTACATAACCATAAAAAACCCATAAAAAATCCTAACTAACCATTTATTCTGTTATAACTTTCATTTAACGTAAAAACAATAGTCTAACACTAAAAATCTATGAAAACAAAAATTTGCAGCTACGCCGTAGCGTATAAAATTAAAACACAAAAATGATATTTTGGTGAAAATTAAATTAAATTTTGTTATTTTTATTAATTGAAGTTTTAGTTTTCGATTTTTAATTCATTTTTCGTTATATTTTATTGGTCAGATGTGGTTATTTGAGTGCGCGCGTCGCTTCGTCGGGTCGATACAGCGGTATCATGTGTTCCGACAGTGTACGGCGACAGACAGTCTTGTTTTACAATTCTGAGGTCCCAATCCTGAATGTTATTAAGATTACTTTTCCTTGTACTCTCCTCAGCCATTTCTATACAATTTTAAGGAGAAACGTGTCTGTATTGCCTACAAATATGGACGTTATGGTCGGGTTTCGGTGTTTGGGGAAACAGGGCTGGCTACGTTTAGTTACTATTCTTCGTGATCGAGCTTTGGGTGCAATGAATGATGTTTTACGTTTTCTGGGTTAATGACTCCTGTTTGGGGTAGGTTGGCGATAAATAGAAATAAACAAAATAATATGGGAAAGTTGTTTTTTCAGTATTTGCAGAAATTCATTAAATTGATTTCAATTTCTTTGTTTTAATTTGAAAGCTTAATCAAAGTCAAAGCATTTATTTTAATTAATCCTTGATTTGACTTTTGAATAAAAGTTAAAATCAGATTTACATTGTGGTTTAAATACCCAGTTGATTATGCGGTCATGGGTAACTGGGGCAGTGTTTACGTTCAAATCTAAGGTAAAGTAAATAGAATTCATATATGGAAGTGAAGAGGCATCAGAAAACTTTATTTTATCTACCGAGCCATGGAGCGCACGTAAACCTGTAACGACTTCCATAGATTTTTAGATGAATTTCCTTAATGTGGGTCAAAAATATTGCTCGATATGTTACAAAATATGTTGTTCGATGTTTAGGATTTGATTAGTATACTGTATACTATCAACGGCCTATAAATACCCACAAGTGAACAACGCCTCCTCTCACACGGAGAAGGTTTGAGTATTAATCACCACGCTTGCTCAATGTGGGTTGGCGATTTCAAACTTATAATTAGAAATTATAAGCCCAGGTTTCCTCACGATGTTTTCATTCACCGTTTGTCAGTGGTGTCTAGATAATATTATAAAGTACATATAACTCGGAAAAAGTCACATTGGTACTTGCCGTTGGTATGTTTCGGACCCGCACCCTCATGCATAAGAAGCGGGCGTCTTAATGACGGCGGATACTGTATGTATGAAATGTAATTATTGTGAAGTAGATATTATTATAAATACGTTTATAAGGCGTTCGAAGATAATGATCACTAGAGATTTCGGTTCTTGAGTATTTAGTAACATCATTATGGAATCATAAGGCAAATAATGCAACTATACTTACTCCAAGCACAACACGTTCTTACAATGGAGCCGTGGAGAACCTAACGGGAGGTGTTAAGGGAAAGTTAAGGGAAAGTTAAGGGAAAATCATCGAATGGAGGGAGTGTTGGACTCTTACTGCCTAAAAATCACCCCGTTCATACTCCTGCCCTTCGAATCGGAGCCCCGGCAACCTGTTAAGTCCTCCGCAGGTCCGTATCGGCATTAGCCCCATCGGACCCAAGAAGTAGCTGGAAATAAAACACTTTTAGCAAAAATATGACTTTATACAAGTAGCAGTGTAGTTGCAATAAGAGACCTTGTTGGAGGATCTTATGTAATCAAATAACCTTTTTCAGTGCACCCCTATTATAACTTACATAATAACATCAATAAAGTATCTCGAAGAATTTAATCTGACCTATTAAAATTCTTGGACGTTTTTCCTTATCCTGACACTTATTGGCTTCATGCCAAGCCCTGATTCCAGGAGTGGGTCATGTTCCTATAACATATATTAAGTTAGTTCCAGATAATATTAAGCCTTTGGATAAAAACAATTAAGTAGATTGAGCACAACATATAACATCACGCTTTTTATCCCCAAAGAGCTAGGCATAGGTGCACATTACGGCACTTAATTAATGTCATTGTACAATGTAATACAAACTTTTCACTTTTTATGTTATGAGTCCCATGTAATAGGGGGTGAGCCTATTGCCATATACGATTGATACCACGGAGTGATACCACGGCACAGAAAACCGACGTGAAACGAAGTTTGCGTTGTGTTTCCTCGTGTGAGTGAGGTTACCGGAGGCCCAATTACCCTAGTCTCCCGAATCCCCGTATCCTCCACAATCCTCAAATTCCCAATTCCCAAAAGGCCGGTAATGCACTTGTAACGCCTTGGTGTTTTGGGTGTCCATGGGCGACGCCGATTGCTTACCATCAGGTGATCCGTCTGCATGTTTACCGGCTTACGTTATAAAAAAAACACTCTGTCATTTAAGTACTTCAATCGAGACCTCACCAGCCATATTGGCGACCACTTGACCGCTTTTAGTAATACAATATTATAATCCTAATATACTTTGGCGTCACAAATAAGCTTCATAAAGCCATCATACCACATTATATGGCTCATAAAATCTAGTTTAATTTCTCTCGCAACATTTAGTATTGCAGCTGTTTGCCGCAGTTTCTTTGTAAGGGAATCTGTTGTTTATTGTTTGTGCAGCTTTTTTGTGTTAAATGGATACTATGTAGTTTTTGATAACTTCTTTATTTAGTCTGCTGAACAGTATTTACTAGGTATGTTTTAAAGTGGCCCGGAGGATACAGTCGTGGTGGCCGGTTTAAGACGCCCGCTTCTCATGCATGAGGGTGCAGGTTCGAAAACTACCAACGGCTACCAATGTGACTTTTTCCCAGTTATATGTACTTTCTAAGATTATTTAGACACCACTGACAAACGGTGGCGGAAAACATCATGAGGAAACCTGGGCTTATAATTTCTAATTATATGTTTGAAATCGCTAACCTGCATTGATCAAGCGTGGTGGTTAATGCTCTAACCTGAGAAGAGGCTTTGCTCAGCAGAGGACATTTAAAGGCTGTTGATAATGATGATGATGATGTATGTTTTAAGGCATTGTAGAGTACTTTAAAAATGCATATTTTATTGTTATTATACTCATCATCATGATCAGGGAAACTGTAGCCTACATTGAGGAAGTTAAAGAGTGTTCCAAGCTCCTGATTATGATAAAGATATCATACTAATGTTTCGTTGCGACGTGACGAAACAAACAATCAAACATTCTTTATGAAGATTAACCCTTCATTCACGATCATTTTTTGCATTGCTACGTTTCATATTCTTTTTATTTTTTATGTTTTCTTGCATATTATATTAATCTATTTTTAAGTTGTAAACATTTATTGTTACTGTTTATTATTATTTTAGTTATGCCTTTATTACGTAATATTAAGTTTAATTGTAGTTTTTTTACTGCTCTCTTATTTGACGGCCTCATTGGCCGAGTGGTCACAAGTGCGACTGCCAGCCAAAGGGTCTCTTCGATGTCCGGGTCGGTCAAAGTATTACGGAAGCAACAATTAGAAAAAAGTAGGTAGTTCCTTACTTAGGACCGCTTACTTAGGATATATACCTAACTAGGTATATATCGTGAATTCATAAAATCAGCTTTTACCCGCGGCTTCGCTCGCGTCACAAAAGGATAAAAAGTAGCCAAATGACATGTACACACACAGAGCCATCTATACCGATAACTTCGTTTTCCCTCGAGAATATCGAATTTTTCCGGCATAAAAAGTACCCTATTATTTAATCCAGACTTCTAACTTTACATCTGCAAAAATTCAATGCAATCGGTTTAGTAGTTACGGCGTGAAAGCGGAACAAACAAACAAACAAACAAACTCACTTTCCGATTTATAATATTAGTAAGGGTTACTATCACATTATAAAACTTGACAACGATATTTCGTGGAACTCTCACGGAAATGAGGCTTTTACCTTTTTGTACTCGGATAATTCAGTAACAGAGTGCTGAAAACAGTTCAACAACCTGAAAGTTTACAGTAATTGCATTTCCGTGACTGAAAAGCTGTAATTATAAACGTTGACCCATTTCTAAATTATATGCGACTGAAAACTTAAAAACGGTTAGCAGTACTGAGAAAAGATTTCCATGACCTATTGTACACATAATATGTAATTAAGAAGTTTTTTATGGGATAAGCCGGTAAACGAGCAGACGGATCACTTGACACTTGAGTAAAGTTTGTAACATCTTTTGTAACCTGTGTTCTACAAATAAAGTAATTTGAATTTGACACTTGAAACACTAGACATAACTATTTAGTATTGGCCTTCGTATAACTGAGCTTTAAACATTATTCCCAATCAATACTTTCCATTTTTATCTGCTATATTAAACAAGAAAAGTAGTACAAATTAACTTAAACCACCCTCTATATACTTAAACACCCACTACAACTAACTACCTAAAAAACGATTAAACCTAAACCGAAAATGTCGAAATTCATTCAATTTAAAACCTTCAATTGCTTCAAAGAATACAAACGGTAGCGTTTAAGCCGTAAATTCGTTTCGTTTCAATTGTCAAGGTCATACTTCGGCATCAAATATTTAAAGGCTATCAAGTCGTTTTGTTCACGAAACCTGTGACTTTTAGTGTTTCGTGATGGAAGTTCCTTTTTTAGAATTACTTGTGTGAGACTTAGTATCGACTAATGGTACTGTTATTGATAGTTAGAGGTCTCTAAAGTTAGATCATATTTCCTTTCTAAACTTAGACAAGTGTATTGGGTCCCGAAATGCTTTTCGCCCGAGAATCAGACATTGATTTTAAAATTAAAACTAAAAATATAATATATTAAAACTATCGTGAGACATACTAATTAATTATTATGTTTTCTGCTTACTCAGTAGCAGGAGTAGCAGGGTGATAGTCGCCGCGTCGCCCGGGCCCAACAGGGCTGATGCCGATACGAAGCCGCGGAAAACTTAACGGGTTGCCGGGGCTACGGCTCGAAGTGATGTAGTAGGAACGGGGTAGTTTTTAGTCAGTAAGAGTCTGACACTCGCTCCCGCCTCACCCGGGCGGGAGAAGTCAATAAATGATTTCTCCCTCAAAAAAAAGTCACTATGTACTAAACCTTTGTTCAGTAAATAAAACCATTTTGATTTTGAAGAAAATACGTAACATAAAAGAATATTCTTCTTCAATTCCTCTAAAGAATTCCAAAAATCTTACTAGGACATATTCTGTATGAAATCTTCAAGAATAATGCTCAAAAACCATATATCACATAGGCTATGTACGAGTTCGTGCTAAATATTTAACATAACATTATGGTGTGTCGTAGGCCCACGGCAATGCAGTGGAACGCAAGTACCGTGCCATGTGCGGTCGTTCAACCCTTTTAAAATACTGGCAATTCTGTTTAGCGGTTGTTTTTGGTGGTGAGCGGAGCGATTAGCGGATAATGGTTATTGTTCTTTTATTCTTATATGGATTAGAGATCCCAGTTTAATAAAAGGCGAAGGTTAAAAGAAAGCACTACAGCCTGATTGATCTCTGTACTGATATTTATTTTTTATCGCATTCATGTATAAGATCATCAAATATCTTCTTTGTGTGACAGTGTATGTCACTGAACTTCTCTCAAACAATAGGGCCAATTTTGATGAAATGTTTTGTGTGTGTTCAAGGGGATCTGGGAATGGTTTAATGATTCAGCCCGGCAGATGGCGCTACATTCGGTGTCTAGGTTAGTTATCCTAAACGACTGAACAAATATGAATTAATTTTTGTTTATTCATACATTCAAGTGGATATGCAGGACAAAGTCTGTCAGGTCCGCTAGTACATACAGACATACATATATAAAAAGTAGCGTTTTTCAATCCGTTTATCTATAAGGGTGGTTATACAATGTGTTTTTTATAATAACAATCATTTTTTAAATTGTTCTTAATGTCAATAGTCTACATTATTGGCAATTTACAAGAAAAAGAAGTTTTACCTTAACAAATAAGTAGCGGTTTCGCAAAACTCTCCCGCGTCGCTTATCACTGTGTTACAAGCACTAAGGTGTTAAATTATTACTTTTTATTGATCCGAAGCAAGCATTTTTATTATGCCTAGTTGTGCTTATGTTAACAACTTAGTAAACTATTCTATTTTGGAAATTATTTAAATAAAATACACAAACTTTTCTAATATTAAGTCAATTTCTCTATACCTTTACCCTAAAGTACTGAACGGCTACTCAACGTTAAGTAGTACTTAATTATCATGCTATCTCTGTCATATTACATAGAATTTGTTGTGACAGAACTATAATTATAATATAATTGACTGCCTCGTTGGCCGAGTGGTCGCAAATGGGACTGCCGAGCAAGGGGTCTCGGGTTCGATTTCCGGGTCGGGCAAAGTGTTAATAAGTTTTTTTTAATTCTCAGTAGAAGTACGAAGTCTAGAATACATATGATAACCTCACGCCTGTCTCCAATAGGGGTAGGCAGGGACCCTGGAACGCCACTTGCTACGATTCTTACATACCTCTTTCGCTTCATCAACAATCATATATATGTATGTTACATGTTAATATATAGGTAATAGTTATGTCGTTGTCTGAGTGGTCGCAAGTGCGACTGCCGGGCAAGGGGTCTCGGATTCGATTCCTGGGTCGGGCAAAGTATTACTGGGTTTTTAAAAGAAACCTCAGTAGTAGCATGGAGTCTGGAAATGTGCCCAGTATATGGCAATAGGCTTACCTCCTATTACATGGGACTCATAACATAAATAGTGAAAAGTGGGTGTTACCTCTGTGTGCACCTCTGCCTACCCCTTCGGGGATAAAAGGCGGGATGTTATGTTCGCGTTACTATGTTACGAAGCGCTTCGCTTCAAGCTTCCTTGTGCGTACTGCTAAAGAGTGGAATTCTTTGCCAGAGTCTGTATTTCCTGAAGGGTATAACCTGGGAGTCTTCAAGGCCCGAGTGAATAGGTTGCTTATGGGACGACGTGCTCCAACGTAGACCGCATCATCGCTTACCATCAGGTGAGATAGTGGTCAAACGTCGACCCATCAATTATACAAAAAAAAAAATGTTATTTATGTTAGTTATGTATTGCTAAGTACTATATTTCAAAGTATTCCTGAGGCTTTAAAACATCTCAGTAGTAGCACAGAGTCTGGAATCGTGCCGGGTATATGACAATATAGGCTCACTCCCTATTACATGGGACTCATAACATACCTAGATAGTAAAAAATGGGTGTTATATTATACACCTCTGCCTACCCGTTCGGTGATAAAAGGCGCGATGTTATATTATGTAGTTATGTATTATTAAATAAAACAAAATTACAAAACAAGCTTTATTTGTCATTACACTTTGTGTTTGGTTGCCGTTTGATGCATCACTTGCGTATTAATAATTACCTAGAATCTAATCATTAGACTGAAACAAAACATTTATAATTATAATTATTTACATATAATTTATGTAATTCACAGCGAACAACATTCCGATTATAATTTACAAATACATTTTGAATATTATTATTTAAATTAAATATAATTATAACTTAAAATATGAAACAGAAATAAAGTATAATTTTTACAATAATTTATATAACAATTTGAATAAAATAATCTTTAATATAAGTACATTTATTACACACAAATAGAGATTGATTTAAATTTAAAGCTTTGAACAATATTTTCAATTTAAATGTAATATCACAAAATGTGGCAGATTATGTACAACAGTTTTTTTTTTATATTATTTTTATTTAATATAACTTAATTTTAGAGTCATGGCTAATAGAAGCTAAATATTTAAATAATAGTTACGTAGAAGGGTATTGAAAATTAGCCTTATTAGAAAGATTTATTTATTATTTCGAAGAATAGAAATTGAGATGATGACAGGGTATGAAAATTAAAAATCTAATTAGTCCGTCAGTAAGGTAATGAAAAAATATTAAACACGTATTTTTTTATTTTGTCGTATAATAAAAAAAATACTTAGATAAAACGAATCAAAGTTTGTGAGGAGTGGGGGCTAAAATGTCATTTCTACATATAAATTAATGTACATAGCAGTGACGTCACGCGACTTTTCAAATCGATATATCGTCGAAAGTATTCGTTTCTGTAAGAAAATACGTGTTTAATGATTTAAAATAATCTACAAGACGGACATTAAAATAAAAATTAGGCATCTACCTTATGGCATTAAACTGTCAAACACCAAGCGGTCACCGGTGACCGCGACCTATTGTTCTTTAATTGTGTCTATAAAACCGGTACTCAACGAGTTAATATAGACACATTTAAATTCAAAATAAATAATTATTTATCAAAAACTAAAATAAAATTCACTTGGATATAAAACATTATTTTTAAGTGACTAAAACGAAATGATCAAATAAAATGTATAATTAAATGAAACTAATTTTCAATAACGACGTGCTTCATTATTTTTACACAAACTTAATTCTACCGCTGGACAGCTGAATTAAAATTAATTACGACAATTATATAGGTACTATTTCATAAAACTCTACTAACCAAAATAATATAATTTACGCCAAAATTAACATACACTTTTATACAATGTTATTTTATATTGTTCGTAACATTACAATTAAATAAATGCAAAATTTAATTAATAGTTACAATAATAAATCTGCTTAAAATAACTATAATTTTATTTACAATTATTATTATTATATTTTGTATTCGCTACTATAGGCGTGTGAGTAAAGTTGTGAAAGTGTACTCTACTTTTAATATTCCAAAATGAATTCATGATATTGTCCATTTTCCTATTTCATTTGTTCGATATTATAAAAAAATGCGGACAAAAATATTTATTTTATTGTTCATTATTTTTATTAAGGTACACGAATTTGAACATGATATTTGGATGATATTAATTTTTTATTTTTATTCTATCTATGTTTATTATTATTTAAGTATAAGTAAAAAATAAAATAATAATTGATCACGCGTTTCCGGAAGCAAAAAATAGAAAATAAAAGACTTAAGACTATCCGGCATAGCTCAGTTTAAGAATAAAGAGACGTTCTTTTTATTATAATATTATGTTTTTCATAAATGTTTTAAGCATAAGCCTTAATGCCCGCCATAAAATTCATAATATATTAATACTGATCTGAAATAACACCAACAATAACATAATTGCACTTCTTTTTCGCAAATGCTGTATGAGATATGACATTATTTAATGTTATATAATCGAAAAACTATCGGTTGAATAGTTAAAATTTCATTATTTCGAAATTACAAATCTATTATCCGAAAAAATTAAATTAGGGAGTTTTATATTTTAATAGTATTTCTTATTTTAAAACAAGGCTTTGATGGTATTATGAATTATAGGTAAGTATAATATTTCAGTGCTGCTATTTAAGTTTTTAAATCACAACCTTCCAATTTGAGGCATTTTTTCAACCGATAGTGTATTAGATTTCATATTGGATAGATTTTTATTGATATTTAGGTAGACAGATATATGGGAATATTTGTATAGTACAGGTATCTAGCCTCCCAAGACGAATAGCATACACGCTAATCAAATCGAAGTCAATAGATAAATAAATATTGCATAAAATTGACAATGGTATAAGTTATGTCTCCGTTTACATCAAGCTTTTTTGAGGTTTTTTTCTTTATAATAGCAACCGATTCTCTACCAGTTAACTGACAAATGAGTGTCGGATGGCGATAGTAAATCTATTATATTGTTTTCTTGAGTCTTCAACTCATTATTCAATGAACAAACCGTGGAACTCTAACTGTCTGTTTATCAGTACAGTTAAATGTTAGTATCCAAAGTACTCTCAAGAAACTTTATGTTGACTTTCTATTGTTCCGATTTGACTAACGTCTATGCTATTTGTTTCATAGGCCTAGAGTATTCATCTATTCACCCAGTTTAGAGTTGTGCGTAACCTTCAGGTTTCCGTTGGGGGGCGCGGCGGCGGGCAGCTGAAGCTCGGCGTCAGAACACATCATCACTAGGATCGTCGTCCAACTCGCACAACAGTTTGCTGCTGTAAAATAAAAAATAAAAACTCGTTATCGCAAAAGTAAAAAATCATTATCGTTTTACTTTTCGGGGGTAATAAAATAAAGGGTATGAGAAATTTTTTATTTTTACTTTTGTGGGGAAGTTATAATTGACGGATTCAGAAGATCAAATGATTTAATAGTTTGTGTTTTAGTAGTATGTCATATTTTCTATACAATATAAGAAATTCTGTAGAGCTAATATTTTAATGTGCTAATTTTGCAAGAACCAAAAAGTTACCTACATTTACGGTGAATTTTATCGTGGATGAAGCCAAAAGTCTATATATCGGTAATTGTAAATTATTGTGAACTATTTACTGAGATAAAAATGTTAGTCCAAACCAACCTACAACGGTGTATTGTTACAAAGTTGTTCTACAAAATATTAACTAAAAGATCACACAGCACAGTGCAAGATTCTAATTTATTAAACGTACTTGTTAAACTAATCCATTAAAACTACGTTGTTCCAACACCATACTTGAGATAGGACCTGAAAGTCCAGTAATTTACACTATAGGTATAAAAACAAAAGGGAAACTACTCAACAATCAGAAAGGAATATAAAAACAAAGTATAAACATTTCTGACGATATACTAATGACTACAGAAGTAAGAAAAATAAAAGAAAATGAAACTTACTCTTCTTTACTCGCAAAGGATTCGGCGTGCACCCGTCTGTTACACGCCCTGTCACAGCAGCGACAGTGCCAGTACGCGAGCACACTCAGGCTGAACACGAACACCGTCGTCGGCAGCACCAGAGCCAGGATCAACCCTCGCACCGTCGACTCCCACGAGTACCTCGCCACCACCAGGTCTGACCTAGTCAAACTATAGTAACAAGGGAAAATCTTCGGAGCTCTTGGGCCCGCATAATCACTTGCAAACACCGAACAATTAACCCGTGGAGGATAACCGCAACCTTCAGGGTTTATCAGAAACTTTAGATCAGTCTCATCCCATTCAGTCGGCACTGGTGCATTTTCTACAAACGGTCTTCTAGCTAAATTTACACGTATCTTATGACATTTAGTGTGGGCAGTCGTGCATCCTTCCCTGCATGACGCCCAGGTGCAATTGGTCAAGGTCTCGGCGTGCACATGTTCAGAGACAGAGCAGATACCAGCTTCTGGCACGAACTCTGCTAGTATTGTCTGAATAGCAGGTTCCACCACGAAAGGTATCAAGAAGAGGAAAGCGAAGACTGCGAGTATGGCTGATGTTCCTAGACAAAGTGATGTGTAAAACTTGAATCTTTCAAAAAAGTGGGTTAGAAGCTGCTCCCTCGTCGGTTGTTCCAAAGACTTGAAGTCTGGGCTGCCTGGTTCGGCAGACGCTCCCATAGGCAGCGTCGACCTTTCTGAGGCTGCTGGAGAAAGGCTCGCCCTAGATCTGCTCATAGTAGACATCTGGAGGGAGTGTCAGCCAGTAGAAAGCATTGCAAGCAGGTTAGTCGTCTCTTAATGAACTAGCCGGACCCTCACAGAGGAGGGGAACGCCTGAAACAGACCATAAATAAAATGTTAGTAACAAGTTTGAAGCTCATATCGCAGTTGTCATTATATAAGAAAATTTTTCAACATTATTGACGAAATCATAAACGATATGACTCGTTGCGAAACAATTTGGACTACCTTTATATTGAAATATAATTGATATATCGTGTAAAGGCGTCCACACTCCACCACTCGCAAATACTGACTAACCACACTAAATAGTCACAAAAAATGGCTTAAAATCGACTAGTGCCTATTACTAATACTTAGTTACCTAAGTAGAATAATTTCCCACAAATCTTCAAAATGATCGCATTAAATTAAATCAAAGACCCTTAAAATATTCAGTATAAAAACAGCCTTACAAAACTATGTCAAGGGCAGCGCCTATTTTGTCGACCAAGCTATCGATTTTTCTAAAACAAGTTTGCGGTCTCACTAGTGAAATATGTATAGTTAAATCTTCGTTGGTTATTTAGCTAAAAGTTTTAAAATTCATTGCGTTATAAGTTTAATTCATACAATGTCGAATAAAGACAATCTGTATTAAAAATTTATGTTACTAATTAATTCCAAACCATTACCATTAATAAGGAGGAATGGTAAGAATAGTAACATAAAAATATTTTAAGTTTTAATAAGCTAACAATATTATTCAAAGGTACCTTAGTAGACAATGAAAACAACATCTTACGTGACTGATCTCAGAGTGGAGAAACAGGATCGTTTGGATGCAGCTGCATATCGGCTTGACCGCCAGCGCACCCCTTAAATCTCATCTTAGCGTCATCACCAACTTCAATGGTCCGTTGACACAACATTAAAGTTATACAAGACACCACGACCAATACTGTTGGCAGAACCAAAGCAACTAAGAATTGACGGTACGTAGTTTCTAGATCAAATCTGGCCACAACCGTGTCAGGGCTATTTTCCATGTAAAAGCAAGGGAAGCGTGCTTTAGCGTTGTGGTCAGTTCCATCGCGCCCATAGTCCTTCAAAAATTCTTTGCATTCATCAGCCAGAGTGTTTACACATCCTTCTAAGTTTATCATCAAACGGCTGTCATTCGCTAAAGTTAGTTCAACTTCAGAAGGAGCAATCACACGATTGGGTGTCGCTCTAGATTGGTATAAATATTGAAGGTACGTGAAGTTCGTCAGGTCAGCAATATCTACGCGCGGAAGTAAAGCGGCGTTGATACAATCTACGGCAACTACTCCTTGCGTTCCGTTGTGAACTGCGTGACACGATAACATTAGCACTTCTTCACCAGAGTCAGTCCAAACCACTTCGTTATTTTCTTCTTGAACTAACTTCGCACATCTTGCTAAAAACACTCTGTCCCCACTCAATACTATCACGTTTTTATTACGGGTAGGAATGTCGACGCATCTACGATCACAATTATAAGGTGTTCTTATTTTTCTACAAGTGCCTCTGTTACAAGAAAATAGTCCGTGTACGTCTATACAAGTTATTTTCCCTCTTCTCCCAGAACATTTTAAAGGTGGATCTGTTTCTCTGAAGGCGCACTCGAAAGCGTCTGTTATGTTGATACATTTTCCTTCAGTACAGTTGAACGTCCCTGTCAAGTTTCTACATTCGTCCCTGATGCAGTGGTACTTCTTGGCATTCTCTTGGTCGATACCGAAGCATGTTTTGTTCGCAGCACTTCCACATTCAGACAGTAGTAAAGACGTGCCATTCTTCCTCACATTGACGTAGATCTGGATGCAGGCGCCGGAGGTCTTGCTGAGACACCATTCACCGCAGGAGCCCCAGTCACAGTTGTCTTTGTTAATTGCCCTTGTTGTTGTGCACATAATAGGGGTAGGGTCGATCCCGGACGCGATGGCTCTTGTGTACGGCATGTAGATCGCGACTGTTAAGTATACCAGTGACACTGCACTGAGGACAGCTGTCATCTGGCAGATGCAGATGGTTCCGCATATTTTCGTGTCCTGCGGAGGGACCACGAGATCTTCGACGGGTGTCGGTTTCGGCATGTCGTCGACTTCCCACCCGCGCTCTACAACCACTGACGTAAACGTCGTTTATTTGCGCATGCGTGGTGGCGCGATCGATTCGACGCTGCAGTGCGGACAACTTCGGTGGAAGGGATTTTTTTAGTAACATGTCAATGTCCGGAAAGTACAATTATAAAATATGTACACGCAATGGTTACTGAATGGGAGCATGCTATGTGATGCTCGTAATCAGAATTATGCTGTTGATTACAGGCTAATTTTAGAACGGATGTAAATAATAAATGTCTGCAAATAATGAAATGATAAAAGGACATGTAAACATAACATGCGTGTTTTCAAGTCTAGTCTACATTTTTGTATGCGATGATTAATAGGCAGGCCTAGATATAATTTTGTAATACAGTATCTAATAACTACGTACATTGTACTTGTACAATCAACAGGTTTCATTACTTTGTGTTCAAGCAAAAATCTGTATTTTCGTACAAATAATTTTAAAAATCGATAGCTTGGCACTTGAATAATTCAGTAAATAACTCTGTCATTAGATTGAATCAACTGATCAACCATTTAGTTAAAAAATACTTAGGACAAATATTTTCCGATATAATATTGATAAAATTATATTTTCCATTTGTAATCCTATAACTAAGTATAAATAAAATTAAAGTAATCGAATTTTAGTTGTAAAAAACATAAGAAAACTAAACTCACCTGTCTTTCGCCTCCGTATACGAATTTCAAAACATAAAGAAAATTCTTTTTTTTAATACCTTTTCCACTAAACTATACAAGATTTTTGGTATACAAATGTCGCGTATAAAACAGTGTATTATTATTTTATCACAGATGTTGAAAATTTATTAGATTTTTTGTATAAAATGTGTGATTTTCGCGTTGATGTGTTATTTTCGACTGGTGTGAAGTGCGTTGGGGGTTGTCATGCGCAATGCGGAGAATCTGTACCAGTCTGAAGTTAGCTGTCTGTTTACTGCATACAAGCTCAGCTCGTGGCGCTATTGAACTTTGTTGAAAGTTTTTGTTGGATTAATTATGTGTTGGTTTTAGAAAAATAATTAAATATTATTGACGTAAATTAATTATGCACAAAATATAACAGAAGATAATAACTTCGTTGATATATTCAACAAAGTTTCGATGTTTGATGAAATATTTTTTTAATTTTTTACATTATCCACAAAGATGGAATAAAATAACCTAATTCTTCGATTAGAAAGAAAACACACAAAAACAAGGATAATCAAAAATAGAAAAAAAAATACAAATGCCTATATAAAAACTAAACATTAATAAAAGGCTTAAAAGACAAAAGAAATGAACAAAAATCATTATTAGATTTAAATTCTGAAACTGAGTTTGTGAACACGATAATTATTAAATACTAAGATACTCCCGCGGTAACCAAAGCAAGAACGAAATACAATATTAAAAATAATAAAAACATAAAAAAAATGTCAAATAATAAAATAAGGATTCAGAAAGGATTCATTTTATTTTAGACTAATATTAAATATCAAGATTATTTACAAATCACAGTTCTAGAATTGTCCAAAAATCATTGAATGAAATTAATTTAAGAACATGTATCGAGACAAAGACAATATGTCAACTTAGGTACGTGTAATTTTGTCCAATTAACAAATAAAAATAAACGAATATACACTCACCATTAATTATAAAACTGTCCACAGTTAATTCCATTTTCAAATTTTATTTTTCTTTATTAAGTATTCTTTATTTAAATCCAAACTGTATTTATTTGTTTACATTTTCACAACCATAAGCCGGTGGTACACCGACGTGTTTTGCCGCGGTATCAAAACTTTCTGTTTTAGGTTAGAGCTAGTCAAACCCGCGCATGCGAGGTAAGCTGCCAAAATTTTTACAACTGAGCTTTTGAGGTTTGCAACGTTTTCATCGACTTTCTTCAAAATATTGCAGTTTGGTCGAATATTAAGTTATTGGTAACGAAATCTTCAAATAAGTTCTTAAGAATTGAAAGAGACTAACATATTTTTTCTTAATTTATATTAATATTAGACATCCAGTACTCTTTGTTCTCAGAGTATTCAAGTAGGTAATGGCAGTCTCTTCTAGTTTGGTTTAAAATATTAACATGTAAAAGTGCTATTGTATGACTTATAATACATACATACATCAACAGCCTATAAGTAGCCACAGCCGACCAATGGCCTCTTATCATACGGAGAAGGTATGAGCATTGACCACGCTTGCATAATGCGGGTTGGTGATTTCAAACTTATAATTAGAAATTACAATCCAATGTCTCCTCACGATTTTTTCCTTCACTGTAAAACCGATTTGGGGTAAATATCAAAAACTGAGACAGTTAAATTTAATTGAGCTATTTTTTTTATATAGGTATTTGATCACGATCACACTTTATGTGATCCACAAATTGTTGTTCCGTGTCTGGGTGTCATTGTGTACGTGAACTTGTTTGTAAACGTACCCACGACACAGGAGAAAATCCTAAAGTGGGAAAAAGTTTTTTTTGAAAAAAAATTGTGACATTCTAACTAACGCCTATTAGTAAAGAATATTTTTTGTCCTCCTGTAAAAACCACACGAATTCTCTCATAAAGAAATTGCAATAAAATACTAGTTGAAAATATTTAGTACCAGTTTTAAGTACTGAGGTCGAGACTGGAATGTACTCTGTTGTTAACCAGATTTCATCAGGTATCAGTGGTGATGGTAACCTTGCCACTTGACATAGCGTAAAAGGCATTCGGATTCAAATAGAGACACTATAATTTGCATGGTACATCTGCTTGTTTGCTGATTTCAATATTTTTTCAATGCTTTATCAATTTTAGATATCGTTCTTTCTTTGAATAATTAATTAATCGGCACGAATGGGCCGGCTCGATCGGAGTGACACCACGGCCTTACAGAAAACCGATGTACCGAAACACAGCTTGCGTTATGTTTCGCCGTATGAGTAGGATACTAGAGGCTCAATTACCCATTTCCCAATCTCCCCAAACCCCGAATCCTCAACAAACCTCAAATTCCTAATCCCCAAAAGGCCGATAACGCACTTGTTACACCTCTGATGTTTCGGATGTCCATGGGCGACGCCGATTGCTTACCATCAAGTATTCCGTCTGCTCGATTACCGTTTTATTCCATAAAAACTCCTAATTATTGAAATATAGCCATAAAATCAAACCTTTTTGCACGTCACTTGTATTTTTTTTAATATTTGTGCATTTGATTTTCCACGCGGTTGTCATGTTATGTTCCTTTCTACTCATTTAATAATTCTTTACTACAAAGAAATCCTTTTTGAAGACTTTCCCTACACTAGGTTTTTCTCCTGTGCCGTGGGCGCGTTTACAAACGTATAATTTAATATACACATGACACCCAGACTTGGAACAACAACTTGTGGATTACACAAAGAGTTCTTCCGAGCGGGTCCAACCAGCGACATCTTGCAGAGCCGCCGCACCAACCGTGCAGTCATTTCCATGATTAATGAAACAGTGCTCCACCAATTCAGCCAGTAAGGCAGTATAATATATAGCAAAAAACGATAAAATTACGCTAAATGAAATGCTAATGAGTACGAACGCACCCAACGCACCGCTGTCCGAATATGTACTGAAGCCGCGCTGCACTTAGCGTGTCGCGTTTGGGTTCCTAGATCAGCAAAACGTGTTCGATCGAAGAGATTGTAAATTTTACAAGGAAAAGAATAAAAATATTGTGTAGACACAATGAAATCTTCCAAACCTCAGAGGGCATAAGGGTCAACGTACATCAATAAATCAACGAGTCCGTCCGTTTATTGCATTATGTCGTTAGTCTGATTGGTCGCTAGCAATTTATCAGTTAGGCCTAAAGCGGTGCGCATACGCATCCTACGTGCGTTAACTGGAAATAACTGAATATTATTGAGTAAGCGATCGGAGGTATTTTTTCCGTGAGAAGCGACCTTTGTTTGGTTTAGTTTTATTGAATGTTATTAATTTAATAGTTGGAACTTATTGGAATAACATGGCATTCCTTAACTTAAAGGTTTATGCAGAGGTGTACATATTACGTATCTACTAAACTATGAGGCTCATATAGATAGCCATAAACCGGAGACCACTCTAGATTATACATAAAATATTTATTCTATAGGTATTTAAGTGTATAGTATACATATTACTTAACAAATTTTTTGATTTGTGTTCTAGCTTCGCATCAACCACTTCATTTCTCTGCACTTCCTGGTTGACTACACTGGTTGATTGCAAAAGAATGCCTTAAGGCCAAGTCCGCCATTCACTGTTATGTTTAGTGAAGAAGATATAAATAAATAAATACTACTTACTACTAAAAGTAGGAAAATCTACTTTTAGTAGTAAGTAGTATGTATAAGCACACTATTACTATTTCAGGCGCGGGAATCGCACCCGAGATCCCTACCTCGATAGCCCCGCTTGCGACGACTTTAACAACCAGTGCAGTCTCTGATTGATAAGAATGCGAGCTTAATTTCTTAAGCGATACCTCTCATCATTAACAACCCATGGGAGTCCATGGATCTACTCCACAAAAGAAGGTTTTGCCGTTGTAATACTAGAGAAGAATACATTTAGCATCACCATCATTGTGGAGGCCACGCTTCAACATGATTGTGCCGACTCGACCGGGGTGATACCACGGTCTCACAGCAAACCCACGTGAAACAACGCTTGCGTTTCATTATATAAGTGAGGTTACCGGAGGCCTAATTATCCCCCTTCCTTTCCCAATCTCCCCAATCCCTGAATCCCAACAAATTTCAAATTCCTAATCCCCAAATGGCCGGTAACGCACTTGTAACGCCTCTGGTGTTTCAGGTGTCCATGGGCGACGCCGATTGCTTACCATCCAGGTGATCTGTCTGCTCCTATAAAACCACGCAGCGTTTACCGGCTTATCCCATAAAACTCCATATTCTTCCCATGTGTGTCATTAAAGACAATTTAGGGAACTATTTCTTTTAAACCCTGTGAATTTCGACCCGTTTGCCAAGCGCGGAGATCATGGCGAATCCCTTTCATTTATTAGATCTGGCAGTAGACTATCAAGGGTCTGATAATGCCATCATCCTCATGGATGAGGATCCATCATTTAATGAGAGTCATCATTCAATGAAACATTATTTTTTGTAATGATATATTTTAATACAGAATTTGAAAGAATATTTGTATTAACATTTCAATACAGTTATAAATAACTGTTCCACTTTTACATCGAACAATTATACATAAGTAAGTACATATGCCTGTAATCGGTTCTTACATGTCCATCGAATATTACTTTTTGCAACAAACAACCTGTCGTTAAACTATAATTATAAAATTGTAATAAAAATATACTTATCTCAGCAATAAAAGCGAAAAGAAATGATTCGTTCAAATCGATATGCATTTATTTCTTAGAACTGTAAATGGACTCCATGCCGGTTTCTATTTAGACCAGTGGTTCTCAAATGTATTGACAATATTTTGCGATTTCGTGCCAAGCAAAGGGTGCCGCAATAAAAATGGCGACTCTTGTATGTTGAGAAAATACTAATCTTATAATTTTATTATTAGTTATAACGGACATACATAAACTGCTCAAATTTGAAACTGGAATATTGTAACATTTATTATTTTATCTATTGTCCATTCTGCAAACCAATCAGAACTATTCTAAACAGTACAAACAAAAATATTACGGAAGTATGACATACTGGCTGGTGCATGAACTAACTTGGCCTCTCAAACTACAACTTGGCAACTCATGAATATGAGCCTCTAGCATGGCTTGAAACTAGTCGAGCTCCTCGTCAAATTATTACGTGAGTAAGCCGAAAACATACACACACAATAGTTACAATACAACTCGTTCCTTGTTTAAATGAACTCTTAGATATCAACCATTTTCTAAATAATAGAACATTAAACAGGAATGTCAATCAATGTAAGTAACTATTATTTATTTTAGTAAGTTTTGTAATTAGTATAATTTGTCAAGCGTGTCTTTGTTGTGCGTACAGTAGGTATTGAAATATGTATCAGAGACATTGTAGAACATACTTTTTTAAAAAGAGTAACGAATGGAGTTTCTTGCTCGGTCTTCTCCATTCGAATCTACATTTTGGAAGGAACACCTAGCTTCACCTAGCTTCACTGACGGACTGACAAACTATTATTTATTTTGTATTTGTAGGCATTACTATGGTTTAATTGAAATAAATACTCTGACTTTGACTTTGAAGTAGAACTAATGAGAAATGAGAAACCTTAAATAACAACAGCCGTTTCTAGTAAAGATTGGGATACACAGATCTAGATGATATCAACCTCGAAATACCTAATAAAAAAATAGTAAAATCAAAATGTTGCTCGTTGTGGACGCGACGCTACAGTGCTATGTGCCTACAAGACGGGCCCAGATCTTTCCAGACGTACCCACGCATCCACCAGGAGTACTAAACCTTTGATGTAATGATTATTGAAACTTATTATTAGATAAAAATCCCCAATATTTTGTTCACTAAATCGATCATCAAAGTCAAACAACATCCTGTAGACGGGGATTCCACGAATAGATAATAGTCATTTAGTAGATTTCGGACTATTTTTACTTTTTTTACCTTAATTACATTCCTACTTTACAGAAGCCTGATCTTATTAAGCCTGCCTCGCCTGCTATGACTGCCTTGACTGTTGGCCGAGTGGTCGTAAGTGCGACTGCCGGGCAAGGGGTCTCGGGTTCGATTCCCAGGTCGGCCAAAGTATTACTGGGTTTTTAAAAATACTCAGTAGTAGCACGGAGTCTGGAATTGTGTCCGATATAAGGCTCACCTCCTATTACATGGGACTCATAAATAAATAGTGGAAAGTGGGTGTTACATTTAACAGTGGCATTAAGTGCCGTAATGTGCACCTCTGCCTACCCCTTCGGGGATAAAAGGCGTGATGTTATGTATGTATATGTATTGGATAAAATTTATTATGTTTTTTTACAAACCCTTCTATGTTGAAAATGCAGCATAGTCTAGAGATGGGCTGTTCATAGTACTGTAAAGCTATTACGAGAATGATCTCGACCAATGATAGGCGAAAATGCAATCAAGCTTACTTCGAAACTTCGAATCGACGGTTACAGAAGCCCAGCTATATTTACTTTGTGGTGATAGCAGAGATCAATTTGTTTTTTGTTAAGTTATTTCAATTAAACCAGAATTTGGTACTTTTGAAACGTCAACAAATACAAAATAAATAATAGTCTGCCAGTCAGTCCGTCAGTGAAGCTAGGTGCTCATTCCAAAATGTAGATTCGAATGGAGAAGAACGAGCAAAAAACTACATTCGTCCAGTCGAATCTCATAGTGCGACAGTTGATTGTATTGGCTATATTTTGACTGCTCCCATCATACTTTGTTTTCAGTTACAAACTCTGTGAATTACGTCATGGTGCGAAATTAAAAAGAAAGAAAATCTTTTTTTTTAATTACTCCACGACACACATACAGACAACAATGCAAGAACATATAAAATGTAGTTCATGGTGCGCAAAAGACCGCAGCGCAGCTTAATGCCCGGGCACGAAGGTTCGAGTCCACAGCGCTGATTTTCAGTACCAGCCTGTAAAATACCGTTACGTAATAGTTTGCGTATTTTAAGTAGGCGTTGGGTATTTATGGGATAAGGCGGTAAACAAATCTCCTAATAACAAGCAATCGACGCCGTCCATGAATAATATAGGAGTTCCAAGTGCAATGCAGATTATAATTTATACAGATAAATAAAATTGGAGTGTCTGATTGTAATATCAAAATAATTGCTTTTACTACATACATATGAATATATATACGGTACATATACCGAAATAATATTTTTTACAATTTTAATGGTCTGCCTGTACTGGCTTATGTCTGGAGGTAGATATTGTACTAAGGAGTAAGTAACATAGGCCACGTTTATTTTGGAAAATTGAAACATAAAAAAGTTATATTCTAAAATTAATATTCTACGTGGACGAAGTCGCGGGCAACAGCTAGTCAAATAATAATTTCAAACGACAAAACCAATATCCTGACAAAATGTTGACAACCTCACGAAATCCGGTGATTACCATCAGTCCACAGGATCTTGCGACCGGCGGGTATATAAACGAGGACACCCTGTAGGACACAGCACAACTCCTGCGCATCCTATCCATACACCGCGACGCTATCTACAAATATCAAGATGAAGACTCTGCTTGTTTTCGCTGCCTGCATTCTGGTCGCTCAAGTGAGTTGGACTTTTTTGATACCTATTTGCGACTTTTGCATTTTTTTTTAATTTTCGTCATCTTTGCGTCTTAAACTGTCAAACACCGCGAGGACACCGGTGACCGCAACCTATTGTTCTTTAATTGTGTCTATAATGACGGTACTCAAAGGGTTAATATTATATTACTTTTTCATCCTAATTCAATATGATGTAGTGTGTTAATCAACGTATTGCAATTATTAGGATCTTTCAATGCGATTGTTACTAAAGTATTTTTCTTAAATTTTCGTAAGAAAATAATAGATGAAAATATTAGCAGAGCTAAATTAAACGCTACTGTTTCAATATTCATGATGTTTACAAAGAAATATTTTTTAAATCTTGTACAAACTAAACTTTGTACAAATTTAATTATATTTCCAGTGATTTGTACAATATTACCTATCGATCACAAATCACGAATCGTGGTGATGATATTTTGTCTGAAAAATTTACTAAAACCAAAAATAATCAATATAGACAGTTCAATAGGAATAAGAGAAAATAAAAACAATACCCTTCCTTCAATTAGTCGGGTGAAAACGGAATTGCGTTATAAAATTGAAATTAGAAAACGACGGTTAGAACTATTTCTACTCCTACTCCCAATTTTTCAATGCTCAGATAAATTTTATCTGAGGAATAACTTTTCATATTTGACAATTCTTCCATACTGAAAACTATCAACTGTCAATTTTATTATATAGTTAACAATTAACTAATGGTTAAAAAATCGGCCGTTAATCTATAATATATAAAAGAAAGTCGTGATAATTACACCACTTATAACTTAAGAACGGCAGAATAGATTTGGCTGAAAATTGGTAGGGAGGTAGCTTAGAGCCAGGAGACCGACATAGGATACTTTTAAACCAATACTTTTTTTTTACTTTTTACCGAAAATCACGAACGGGGACGGGAAAAAATGGGATTACGCGTACGAAGTCGGGGGCAGAAGCTAGTAGAAGATAAATTAATCACCAGACGCCGAATTACCTATCAGTCAACTAATCCATTATTGTTTCGGTTCAGGCTCTGACAGACGAGCAGAAGGAGAAACTCAAGAAACACCGCACTGAATGTCTAACTGAGACCAAAGTTGATGAGCAGCTGGTGAACAAGCTGAAAGGTGGTGATTATAAGGTAAGAAAATATATTAAAAAAAGACACCGGCTGAAATGAGAAACTTCTCTATTTTGAGAAGTCTGTTAAAAAGAATAAGAACTTCGCCCTTTTTTTGAGGGGGGTAAATCATCTAATGACTTCTCCCGCTCGGGTGAGGCGAGAGGGGGTGTCAGACTCTTACTGACTAAAAACCAACTCGTTCCTACTACTGCACTTTAAGCCGAAGCCCCGGTAACCCAGTACCCGGTAAGCCCAGAGTATCTAACGCGACGGCTGGGACGTGAGGAGTTTCGTTCCCTCACGCGCTCCGCCTCCTCCTTAGTTAGCATGACTGCTTCGTAGAAAGAGGTGACGGCATCCCAGTCCCCCTAGCTCCGTACCATGGTCTGAACTAGAGCCGAAGAACTTCGCCCAGAACGAACATTGATGGACTATGATCCTTCGTGACATAAGAGGGCTTGCCATAAAGCATGATAATCCGCTTGATAACCGGGTTGGAGATCGTAGTTAAAAAGTTTAGTAATGCCAATTACTTGGGTCCTGTTCCTTAGTTGGCTCAAAAAAAAACTCCATTGTTAAAATAAGGTCGGTGGTAAAAAGGTTCACAAAACAAAAAAGGAAGCCATACCATTAAACCTTCATAAATAGAATTTCTGTTTCGATGGTAAAAGTTCTTGCTGGGGATATCGATAATAAAAAATTTTGATATTCAACATGAGACCTCGTAATAGTCATCAACGGCACTTAATGCTACTGTACAATGTAACACTTCACTATTTATTTTATGAACCCCATGTAATAGGACCCCCTATAATTTGCCTGACTCGGGAATCGAACCCGAGACCCCTTGCCCGGCAGTCGCACTGGCGACCACTCGACCAACAAGGCAGTCAACATAACATCACGCCTTTTATCATCAATCATACAGATTGATTATGTCAACCGAACATACTCAAAGTATAAAAGTTCTAACACATCCCAAACTTTTTACTAAGAATATATTGCATTTTATTAGATGGACAATGAGGCCCTGAAGAAATATGCTCTCTGCATGATGATGAAGTCAGAACTGATGACCAAGGACGGCAAGTTCAAGAAGGACGTCGCTTTAGCCAAGGTTCCTAACCCAGGTAAGATTAAGTTAAGTAGATGATGAGTATGTATGCTGATCTTGATGAATGTAGATGTTGTGAAAAAGTTGTGATAAATGTGATTATAATGTTTCGTATTATTATTAGACCCCATAACATTATGGGGCTTAATGGTACCCATATAAGTTGAAATAAAATACGCACGAGCAATTTTAATCTAAACAAAGATACCCATTTCAATGTTTACCCAAGATGATCGTTGATACAACATAATTATTTGATCAATAAGAAAAATTTATAATAAAAAGAAATGTTATAAATTTAACGTTATTTTTTTTCTTTTCTTTAGCTGACAAACCGACCGTGGAGAAGCTTATTGATGCCTGCCTGGCCAACAAGGGCAACACTCCCCACCAAACTGCCTGGAACTATGTCAAGTGTTACCATGAAAAAGACCCCAAGCATGCGATTTTTTTGTAATTGCAGAACACCAGCTGCCTTCGGATTCTTTCTAAGAATTTTCTGTTACAGCCCTTTTCTTTTTTCCTAACAAAAATCATATTTGAACTGCAACGCTCAAAGACGTCTTTACACCACCGAATTCAAGTTGCGACTGATTTATAATTGCTCTACATTTTTCGTTGTACCCTCAAAAATATTTATATTAAAATTGTAATTGTTTAGGCATAATTCGGATTACAGGGATTGATTTTATTTGAATTAAGAAACGGACTTATTTTTGTCAACTGCCTTTACGAATTTATTAAAATCATCAGTTTAAGAACACTACTTTATGGTTTTTTATTTCCAAACTCTGAACATACTTTTATGATTGTTTTTTGCAAAATAGACGTCCACATTCAGACATTCTTGTGCATTTTCGGGTGCACTCTCAAATAATCTCGAATACAAATGTAAAATTCGATAGAAAAGTGAACTGACAAGAGAGTCCACCAACATCCACGTCAACTAACTAAGTAAATTAACTAAAATCGCGGGTTACTCACGTGAATAGCATGAGAAAAGCTCGACTAGTTTCGAACCACAGAGGGGTTCTTCCTTATGAGCAGCGTGCGCGGTCGCGGTGACGTCGCGCAGCTCACTGATTTTAGTATATCTCACGACAGTTATAATAAAAACTAACTAAGTACTCCAAAAATCAGTCATACTCAGTTAGCTGTCACCGTAGAATGACCTATGTCTCCACTCTTCCCATGATTTTCTTAAGATTTGACTCCAAAGTCGACTTTCCGACTCTGTAGTCCCATGACTACATGATTATTTAACATTACTACACTACACTGCAATCTCCAACCTGCTTGCCAAAAGTGAAAATTCTGGCAAACCCAATTTAATTTTTTTAAGGGGGGAAAATCATCGAATGTCTTTTCCCGCCTAGGTAAGGCGGGAGGGAGTGTCAGGCTCTTACTAACCAAAAACTAGTCCATTCCCACGTCTGCCCTTCGAACCGGAGGGACGGCAACCCGTCAAGTCCAAGAAGAGACCCATAGTCTAGCAATGGGCTAATGCAATGGACAATAACTAATGACCCGAGCATCGATCTTCTAAGTAATTTAGTTATCTGTGGTTCAAACCTAATTCTTGTTCGATTAAATAATTCTTTTATACACTACCTTTAAACCTTCAAGAAAAGAGCGTATTCCTTTTTAAAAGGCCGGCAACGCACCTGTTACTCCTCTGGTGTTGCGGGTATCCATGGGTGGCGCTGATCACTTACCATCAGGTGATCCGTCTGCTCGTTTGCCTCCTATTCCATAAAAAAAAACTACGTTTATAAAAACCGTCTTCAACCTGATCTTTCTTGAGTTTGGTTTATTAATATACTAAAACCTTCTTCTAAGTGTAACAAACACTTTCCTGGAAATCGCATCAAATTCAGCTAAGCCAAACATACATACGTACAGGTAATACTAAGAACCTCTTTTTTCTGAAGTCGGTTAAAAAACCTAGAAAAAAAAACCAGAAAAGTAGGTCAGGACATAACAAATGATGTATTGTGCATTTCATGTCCGTCTCATAACTTCTTGACCTTGGATTAAACAAAACATCCATTGATATTAATACAATAACTATTGTCATAGTTCCGTGTTTCTATCTAGGATAGGAAGTTTTTCATAAGAGTTAGTTCAGATGGTATAAGAACTATTCTTTTTTAATTTGTAGGATCTAGAAAAATAATGAAAAATCCTGTAAATTATGTACATTTTACCGTTTTTTCGTGCGGCAAGGTTGCAACCCTGAAAGAGCTTACATTTGATACGTACCTAACTATTTTATTTCTACATAATATTACATCAAATTTTTTTATTGGTTCTACCAATTATGTGTGTTATCAAAGTCGCTATCCGCCGTCTGTTTGTCCCTATGTTTGGTTAGATCTTTAAAACAACGGATTTTGATGCGGTTTTTAATAGAGTGATTCTTAAGGAAAGTTTTTATGTAATAATACATATGTATTGCACCTGTGTGAAGCTGGGACGGGTTGCTAGTTATTTATACATTACAAGTGTGAGAGAGCCATGCTTTGGCACGAATGGGCCGGCTTGACCGGAGTGATACCTTCTACGGACTCACAGAAAACCTACGTGAAACAACGCTTGCGTAGTGTCTTGTCGCGTGAATGAGGTTACCGGAGGTCCAATTATCATTCCTCTTCCCCAATTTCCGCAATCCCAACAATCCTCAAATTCTTAATCCCCAAAAGGCCGGCAACGCACTTGTAACGCCTCTGGGGTTCCGAGTGCCCATGGGCGACACTGATTGCTTACTATCAGGTGATCCGTCTGCTCATTTACCGGCTTATCCCATAAAAAGTTGATACCTAGAACAATAGGCCCAATAGTGGGCAAGATCTTCTACCGAAGACTTCGGATATCCTAGAGATCTGTCGGTCATTGAATAGATCGACAAATTCTATATAGTTACTTTGTTTATATTTGTAAAGATCTTTGTTTGAAAAAATGGACCCTACGAAACGTGGAGAAGTCACAGGTGTATATACGATAAAAAATCGTATTCCAGTAGATATACTGAAGTACGATTTTTTATCGTATAAAGAAGCCATTATGACTCCTAGATAATATACCTATCATGTATGATAATATTTGAAATCATTGTTTTCAGTATGTCTTCCTCTTAAAGAGAATAAAATGGCTTCCTTATAAGAAAATGAAACATTCGTTTAATTTTCTATAATAGACGCACAAGTGCATGTCGTTTTTCAAAAAATGTTAGGGATAAATGTGGCGGTTGCCGTATTTTTTGCGAATATTGTCTGCGGTGATGACGAAACGGCAAAGGTACGTTTTTATTAACAATTTTATGTAATATCCTTTTTTTTAGCTTTATTTATTTTATTTTATTTTTTGTTTCTTGGTTACGTAATTCGCGCGAAGATCACCAATAATTTTTTCATCCAGACTATCTTATGGGGCGAGGTGGCAAACTCCCAATGTCCAAGGTCAAAAATTATTCTAATGTGCTGCCATCTCTCTTGTGTATCCATCATCTATTCAATAATGTCTGATCAAGTATTTAAACTGTTAGTAAAACTTTTTAGAATTCTACTACTGACGAAGTAGTGTTAGCAAAGAGATACCAAATGGAATGCATAGAAGAGACAAGAGTTGATCCTGATTTAATTACTGGAATAAAAGGCGGATCTTGGAGTATACCATGGGTACGTATTATATACCAGAAATCATAATATTTAATGTTAAAATACCTTTGTACAAAATACTTAAATTTAGAATACCTAATGTTTGAAATATCGATTAGACTATCCACAAGAACAATTACCACTTAGAGTTATTACTTAGGGCACCCCGACACATTTTGGTTAGACTATATTAAAACTGTGACGCCCAACGTGCAAGAACCGTGAACATAGAGAGCGATACCACAGCAGCAGCCACCGATCGCTGCATTATGGGATGAACTCCAGCGACCCAGTAGGGATTTTTTTTAAGGGGGGAAAATCATCGAATGACTGCTTCCGCCTGGGTGAGGCGGAAGGGAGTGTCAGACTCTTACTGACTAAAAACCACCCCGTTCCTTCTCCTGCACGTCGAGCCGGAGCCCCGGGTACCCGCTATGTTCTCCGCGACACCCAGTAGGGATAATGCCTGATACAAAGCTGCGGTCGACCTAGAGGTTTACTGATGCTCTGGCTCAAAGCAGGAGTGAAAACGGGGTCGTTTTTGGTCAATAAGAGTCTAACACCCTCTCTCGCCTCACAGAAGGCGGGAAAAGTCATTGGATGTAAATCTACCTATAAAAAATGAAAAAGCTCTAAATTCTTAGTTAACAATATTTATTTTGATTAATTTTCACCACTAAAATATCACTATAGCATTTCGGTTAAGTAGTAATTATCGTCAGTGTGTGTTGTGTATGTGGCTGGTAGGTTAACCTATCGTTTTGTGTCAAACTCTATATCATCTTTAACTGTATTGCATTTATATAAAGTTGAAAATCCAATTAATAAATTTGATGGATTGGAGTAAGTTGTTCTATATATTTTTTAGAATTCTAGACCTCTGGTGAGGAAGTGGGCATTATGCGTAATGATGAAAAGAGGATTAATGACCAAGGAGGGAGTTTATAAACTAGATGTCGCTTTAAAAATGGTTCCTAGGGAAGGTAAGAGAAGTATTTGTATTGTTAACATAAACGGACCCCTTAATGCGATTTTGTTTTACGTTTAAAGCAATCGGACCGCGACCGGCGTTCTGAATGGTGCCGTGTCATCGGAGCCGGCTCAGCCGGCCAATCACGGCGTCTAACGCATACTCGTTTCGATTAAGAACTTGTAATGTAAAACAAACTTGCCCTATACTACGATTTTTTCACACACAAATCTCAATAATTTATTCTTTGTCGGTCAAGTATTTTCTGCAAGTAATTATTATTCAAAAAGCCTGATTAATAGCAACGCAAACAATCAAAATGGAGTTTAAATCATAGTAGTATCTATAAAAAGCCAAGTGGTATAATATAAGTCTACCTAGATTTCTTAGTCTTAAGTGAAGTAATAATAATAATTTTATAGTGTATCTTCTTTCATTTCAGATAGGGATGCTGCGGAGAAGGTCATAGACAAGTGCTTGACCCCAAAAGCTATACCAGCTGAAGACATTGCCTTTGAATTCATTCAATGCTTCAAAAAATCTAAATCGAATTACTCAGTATCTATTTTTATTTAGGTAATTAGTTACTATCTCCGATTTTGTGTGCACAAAATGATAATCCCTGTATTTTCCGCTGCGGGTGTAATTTAGAGATCCCTTAGAAAATGATTATAACAAGTATATTAAGTTTCCTGGGTCCATAAATTTCGAGGCACTTGGTAACACAAGTTGAAAATGAATCTATTATTTAGATAAGCGCCATCTATTCTAGTAATACTGAACTATTAAAGACAACAGTGACATCTTGTGAGGACTTGGTGAACTAATAACATCGGGTCATTTAGTATTCGTTCCAGAATGTAGACGCCCCTTGCCGGTTTATTGTAATAATAATGATGTTGGGTTATTGTGTTAGATTATGAACACTAGAATGTAATTTAGTGTATACATTTTCGTAGAGATGGCGTTGTACAGTTATTTAGACACAGTCGTGTGTGTTTATTATTTTAATATTTTATTTAGATTTTTAATAAACGACTGTCATTTTGTTGAAATACCTAGAGTAATAAGTAAGTGAATTTCTTTTTAAGTTTTCGACAAAATATAACAATGCGCAATATATTGTATTTTTTTTTGATTTCTTGAATTCACTTTTTACATTAACATAACATAACATCACGCCTTTTATCCCCGAAGGGGTAGGCAGAGGTGCACATTATACCACTGTATAAAGTAACACCCACTTTTCACTATTTATGTTATGAGTCCCATGTAATAGGGGGTGAGCCTATTGCCATATACCGGGCACAATTCCAGACTCCGTGCTACTACTGAGATTTTTTTTTAAAAAACCCAGTAATACTTTGCCCGACCCGGGAATCGAACCCGAGATTCCTTGCCCGGCAGTCGCACTTGCGACCACTCGGCCAACGAGGCAGTCGTTGGCAGGCAGGCGAGGCAGAGACATTTTACATTAACATTTAATAAATTACACCAAACATGGACTGTATTAAATAACAAGTACAAGTACCTGCTTTGTCCTTTGCATCTAACAATTGCCATAAAGTTAAAGTTTATCTATTATATATATATTTATCTGCCGTCACTTCCTTCACACTGGCAGTATAATCGACCACACAATATTGAAGACTCGGTTCCCATTCAAGAAAGAAAAAAATGTACCTACAATTTCACAGATACACAATAGACAAGGGAATCAAAAGCTTTGTAGACAGTAGGACCTTACCCTATGTATGTTAGGTGTCGCGAAGAACCTAACGGGTTACCGGTGCTCCGGCTCGACGTGCAGAAGAAGGAACGGGGTGGTTTTTAGTCAGTAAGAGTCTGACACTCCCTCCCGCCTCACATAGGCGGGAGCAGTCATTCGATGATTTTCCCCCCTTAAAAAAAAACCTGTAAGTACATCTAAAGTGAATTTTGATTTTGCAAAATTAATCTTTTCAATTATTGTAGAAGATAAACTAGACGAACAATTAAGGCTGTGGTTCTACCTACCTTCTTTGTGCTTCCCTGTAATTATAGCTACAAGCGCCACTCAGGTAAAAACTTGTTTACAATCAATTGTGATGGTCCCGTAGATACAATATTTATTTGTTAGAAATACTAGTGGTCATTGGTAGCTATGTATGGAATATTTTACAAGTAAGAATAGAGCCAATTACAATTTTGTTTTAGTAAAATTAAATCATTAATAAATGAGACAAAATCTCTTGAACTCTTTGTATCTTTAATTTCTAACAATACAATGAAACATTTAAAAAAATGTAGTATTTTACAGCAAATTTTTAAGAAATAAGAACGCTGTTTGACGCTGAAAAAACGTGACGTCACAATACACAATCTCGTACAAAATTCTCAGAAATCTGTCGTTATTGACAGTTCAAAAAAAGTATTGAATTTGACTAGTTGGCAAGTACCCAATTATTGTCAGCACGATTGGCGTGGTGGCTGGGCAACTGGCTGCCGCGCAAAGTGTAGCGGGTTCGATTCCCGCACAGAGCAATGATCCACAAATTGTTGTTACGGGTCTGGGTGTCTTGTTTGAACTTGTATGTTTGTAAACGTACTCACAACACATGAGAAAATGCTAGTATGGACCAACGAATAAATTAAAAAATAAATAAAAATATTTGTTTGTAATACAGCAACTTTTTGTTTTTGTTATTTTAGAAATAGGAGAAGGTAGATGAGGTGACTATTAGCCTGGCAAGAGAGATTTAGTAACAAATCATTCATACATAACCTCACGCCTCTCTCAAATAGGGGTAGGAAGGGACGATGGAAAGCTAATTACAACGATTTCTACATACCTCTTTCGCTTCCTCGACACTCGACACTCATCTACCTTCGTCTTTTCGTGCATGCTCGTTGGTTAAGGGTGCTTTTAATTTTGCCCTTCTATACTATATTGCCAATTTGGTCAGATACATGTCTAGGGCCCTTGTAGCGACGGTCCTATTAATAATATTTATATAGCAAAAATATGATTTTATACGACTATGTAGTTTTCAGCACAGCTTAAAGTGCTTTTTACACTACCTAATTCTAGTGCCTACTAGGCATTGAACAAAGTATAGTCAAATAGACCAGACGTCTATCAATTTATATCAGAACAATCTCTTTTATTTGGACACATAATCAACTAATTAAAATAAGTCGAAATAACACAACGAACGTACCTCCATACATATAATAAGGGCAGGTGTCGCTCATTAATTTGCACATGGAGGGCTCGCTTGTCAAGATATGTAATGCGCATAAATACTGCTGATTGACATAATTATAAGCCGTTATGATATTACGTACAAGCTGCTTTGTGTTACTTTCGATAGTATTTGCCTCTGTATTTTGCAAAAGTAACAAATGCCAGCTTATACCCGCGACTCTGTACTCGTAGAACAATCCAATTTCACGCGTATAAAAAAAAACAATTCAATTCAAATCGAATGCCAATTTTAGTAGATTCTGTGGTCAATACCAAGTTGCAAGACTTGATAAGATTTCCAACCAATAATTGTCCTGGAACGAGATTACTATTTAGACTTACTAAGCCATTACACCGAGGAAAGTGGATACTATCGTTTTTTTTTTCTTCTCCTCTTAGGTATAATATCTTCTGATTCACTTCGTTGCGGGAACCAAAACATTGTTCATGCCATGTCCCTGAGACTTCAGTGTTCTAGTGTTTTCATGGCTGTATCTACTGCAGATCCTGGCTTACAGGAGCTGCAGCGGTTTTGGGAAGTTGTGGCGGGCTTGTCCTATTAAAAAAAAGCCATTGCAACCCTTAAAATTTAAACCAGGCTCTACAGGAAACCAACCACAAAAAGGCTGTTACAACACAATCTGACCAGTGTCTTTAGCCAAACACCACTTTAGCGCTTGTCTACAGAGAAAGTAGAAAACTTAATGTATGGGGATGATACTGAAAAGTGTCAAAATTTACGTCAATGCCATATAATTTTGTTTTCTATTCTACAAGTAGACAAGCGCTAAATGGCATTTGGCTACAGCTGTTGGTGTTCTGAATGGCAATCATCTGACATTAAGGTTTATAAATCCGAGTTAGATCGCCCACATTTTAGGATACTGCCCATCTCATAGTAGTTAATCAATGACAGTTACACTACACGACATATTATTGAGCAAATAATTATGTACCTATATTTCAGTAGATACTAGCTGTTACCCGCGACTTCGTCCGCGTAGAATATGAATTTTAGAACACATTTTTTTTTGTTTCAATTGGCCAAATACAAGAAGCCTATGTTACTCCTTAGTACATCAGCTACCTGTACACAAAAGTCTTGCAAAATCGGTCCAGCCTTTCCAGAGATTAGCCAGTAGGTACAAACAGACTGACACAAAAATTGTAACAAAATGTTATTTTGGTATGTGTATCGTATGTATATTCATATGCATATAGTAAAAAGCGGTTATTTTAATATTACAAACAGACACTCCAATTTTATTTATCTGTGTAGATAAGCAGAATGTTTTTTTTATGGATTAGTAGGCAAACGAGCACAAAATGGTAAGGGATCAGTGCCGTCCATGGACACCAGGAATCACAAGAATATCAGTATATGTCAGTGGAATTATGGCCTCGTTCGCCGAGTGTTCGCAAGTGTGACTGCCGAGCAAGGGCTCTCGGGTTCGATTCCCGGGTCGGGCAATGTATAAATGGGTCTTTAAAAAATTCTCAGTCAAAAAATTTGCACGAAGTCTGGAATTGTGCCCGATATATGGCAATAGGTATAGGTTCAACCACTATTACATGGGACTCATAACATAGTGAAAAGTGGGTGTTACATTACATTACAGTGGCATAATGTGTACCTTCGCCTACCCCTTTGCGGATTAAAGGCATGATGTTATGTATCAGTGAAATTATAGCCTTCTTTGGAAGTAAAGATTCTCACAGTCTCTTATGGAACCCTGTTACAAAATAGCGGTAAGCTACTACTAAACAAGACCAAGTAATTGCTGGTACTAGTTTTTGTTATATAGTTTGCTATATGTACTTCCTTAGACTATATCAGGGATGGCGAACCATTGGCACGAGTGCCGTTGATGGCACGGAACACAAAAATTTGGGCACGACAGTGACTACAAAACTGATGAATGATAAGAAACCTACAACGGATTTGTGGTGTCTCGAATATTGCAGTTGTACTCAGACTGCGGTGACAGCTTACCAGGCCATTGTATACCTTATTGCTACAGATTGACAGGAAATAGTAATAATTAGTTGATGGCACACATAAAACCGTAAAACATCTTCAAAGTAATTGGCACACTAATGTGTAAAGGTTCGCCTTCCCTGGACTATATGCATGTACATAATTTACATACACGGCCGATGTAATAAATCAGTTATGTATGTGCAAGATGTTTATAATGCGATTTCATTGTAGTTTTTTCTTCTTTATTTGTTCTTCTAAATACAAGTAGGTAATTAAGACCAGTTTACATAAACGACGCCTTCAAGACCACTATTTCATAGAATGAAAGTACAATTTCTACTTGAATCAAAATTTCATTGAGTGTTCCAA